ACGTTGTAAGTAAATAAGTAATAATAATGATGACAAGTTAGCATTGACGCACCCGACATAGATGCCTAATGACATGTATAGCATAGCATAACTTGTTTTGCCTTTCTTAACACGGTTATGTTTATTTGGCAGTAAAGTCGTGTATATTATAGGAATAAAAACAGCAACAATCATAAAGTCTGTCTACATTGTTTTTTTATCATTTATCGAATAGTGATGAATATCGATTAACGAAAGTCGATTGAAGCATCGTTTTCTTTCTATTCTTGTGGCTGCATAATTTTCTTTGCTAAAGTTTATAGGCCACAATTTTTCAGACTGTTGTGATAATTATGAAAATCGATCAAGGGTTAAAATGAAGGGCCCTTCGAGTACAAGCTGATTCTGGCGAGGGGATTTTCAAAGTGGTCCAAGTATTCTGGCAGAGTCTGTTGCATTTTTGCATCCGTACGACATGGGTACACACGCTGACTAATACCTTATTGATTTAACTCATACAAGTCTAGGTTTATACAATTATAGCATTATTCATGGCTTTTTTTTTAAACTTTTTAAATGTCTTGAGCTTACTGGTATAATATTATGTAGCTGTTTATGGTATTGTTGTTCAGTGTTTGACGGTCCATTATTAAGATTTCTCTCAACAAAATAAAGTTTAAAAGAACATTGTGTTTTAATTTCTTGTAATGGGTCAGCCATGTGGTATTGCAATTTCATGGAATTCGAAGTCATTTAAAATAGATCTTTATTTATCACAGCATATGAAAAACCCAATACACATTTTTTAGTATAATTTATTATTCCAGCGTGAAAATTATTCAACTCTATCAATGGTTTAATTTTACCAAATTTAACCAAAAAATTGAAGTTCTACGTTGCGAAACATTTTAGTAGCAACTAGCACTACTAACATTTTCAAATTACTACAGGTGCCGCTGCTACTTTAATTAACCATTTACCCAGTACTAGTACTATTACTGGTACTACCGTAAGTAATAATGACTACTGTAACCATTACTGTCAATATCTTGTACCTTACACAGTTAGCTTGCCGCGAAGGAGGTTATTCTCGAAGTTTTTGTCTCTAATTTGATTCAGTTTCTTATGCTAGTCAAGTGTAAATGTAAAAATAAAAGCAAGCTGCTCGACATAACAACTGATAATAAATAATTAATTATATTTAAAAAAAAGCTATTGATATATAACACAAATCGCGATTATAGTGAGTACAAATTGCTGATTGGCTTCAAACGGCGTCTTGAACGGAACTCGAATACATGGATTAACCATTACGGCGAGCAAAAATTAGAAATAGCAGAGGTAGCTCAAGAGCAAGACAAGCTCGGATGTTGATTTCCGTACCAGGTAATTACACCATCTATGGTACGATCTACTAAAACATCTATTATCAAATAAATAGATCAAATACCAGCTTTTTAGATAAACAGACTGGGGCTTATAGTAGTAACAACATGTTATTTCGCAGATTTGGAATTTGTGCGATCAAGTTAAGAATATTTTTGGAAGAAATCTTAAAACTTATCTAAATCAGATCCAGTAAGATCCCCAGAAAATGAGCTTTCCAATGAGACGTCCGAAAGTTCAAGAGATCTTTTACCGTCACCAGCACTCCAATTTTCGAGACTACTGATAACATTATCGGCATGCGTCTTGCGTTGGACATTTTCACCAGCCTCATTAGTTACACTGTTCAGTGTTTTTAATGAGCACGACGCGACGTTATACCTTGATTGTATGTTTCGGAGTCTTTCTTGAAGTTCATCTACGTTCGTGTTAGTGTTCGTAGCGGTCTTTGTAGAGGCGTGACTGTCAGTGATTGATGACACACGCGAAGGTGTTAATGAGGTCCGAGTGCTTTCTAGTACGTCTTTTGGATCATCGAATATTTCGCCGGCTATTTTCATGTATGACGATTCTTTTGTAATACCTCCAATATCCGTGAAGTTGAATTCGAAGCTGCCGTTATCAAACTCGTGATCAGATGTAATTGTCCGATCATTTTCATTTTCTTCATCCTGCTTGTCTTTATCTTGTTGTTCGGCTTTGGGATCAACTGCTTTCGATGAGCTCTTCTTCACAGTGCTGTTGTTTTTCTTTGTAATAATAGCTCCGGTTGTAGTAGGATCCGAGACAAACGCCGACTCCTCGTCCTGCTTTTGCCGATTAACTTTTCCAGATGGTGTCTTATCTGACACGGGAATAAGGTTTGCTTTTGTTGAAAGCGTAGATGATGATTTGCAGTCAGTAAAGCAATTGGTGTAAGATTTGCTACACCTGCTGTTTTTGTTTTCTTTTAGTGCGGGTTCTTGATCATCCGGTTGAGAGTTTTTTTTTTCCGAAGTAAGGAGTACACCTGCTTGTGGCATTCCAGGTAGATCATCCGAAGAGGGAATTGATTTTTGCACAACAACTCTGGTTGTAAGTCGCTTTTGAACATGCGGGTTATGTTGTTGGCTTGAGGTTCTGGACACGCTATGAGATCCTCCTCCCCCTAAAGGCCCCAGTCCAGTTTCTAGATGTTCAGACTCTAAATAGTCAAGGAGCACTTGGAACTTCACTAGCGATGTTTCGAACTTTGATAATAGATCATTTGAGATATATATCCCTTCATGGGCAGGCACATCGGATATAATTAATTTAGTTTTATAGTCATCACTACCCTGAATCTTTAACTGAAGATCCTTTGGTGGCAGTTTAACAGACGGCGTTTCTCTAATGGTAGGATTGTGCCGTACTTCATCTAGACCTGAATCTTCTAAAGCTAATCGATTGCCGTCAATTGAAGGTGACATATCTAGGTCTAGAGGCCTAAACGTGTTGCCGCTGGGACGATATTTAGTGTTCTCGAAAAGGATTTCAGCGATAGCAAGAGCTGAGTTGCGGGATACCGCCGTGTTGCGCCTTATATCACAGATTTCAATCTCCAAATTGTTTCTCAGGAGATTTTCTAAACTGCGGCATCCTGTTGAAGACAGGCCACAGTTTTGAAGGTCTAAAGCTTTAAGGCTCGTATGATGTCGAAGTGCCTTGACGAGTTGTTCTATCCCACTGTCACCAATAGGATTTCCATTTAGAGTTAACCGTTGCAGCTTGCGATCGACTTGTAGATACTGACTAATTTGTAGTATTTCAGCACGGCCGAGGCGGCATTGGGCGAAATTAAGAACGGTCAGTGATTGTACATGAGGCAGAACAGGGAGTAAAACATCTAGATGCTTACTTGATAATGGGCTTCCTTCAAAGCTTAACAACTGAAGAGATTTGGATGCCTGCAGCGCAGCGCTCACAATAGCCAACTCGCTTTCAGCAACTGGCAGCCCAATAAGACGGAATACTTTTAAGTTCAATTCGTTCTGGCTAATATGCCGATTTAGAGCCTTACATAATGACGACATAACCTCAGGTTCAACGTACGCTGGTAGCCGCCTGCCATGGCTATGCAGGTGCAATTTGCGAAGGTCGCTAGTTAAATGAGGATTATCCTTAAGTAACCGACTCTCGAATCGAACACTCCTCAAAGTGTTGTCATTCGAAAATGCGTGCAACAGGGCCATCAAGTCATTCTTTAATATCATATCTAGATTAACATCTAGGCAACATTTTGATAATTTAGCAAGCACTGGTCGAAACAAAGAGAGTCCTTCTCGTTCACAAATGTGTGTGTACCGATCGAGAAAACTGGTGCCTGAAGCTGAGAGCTGCAAGTGTAAATCAACGCGAGACATTCTCAATTTTTCACTCAATATTTATCACTATAATTTCTTTTTTGATGTAAAATTGTTACCACAAATGGAGCTATAACGAGTTTTTCAGTTCATGATGTGTAGTACTTAAACTCTTTTAAGCTAAAAGCTACATGAGGGAGGTTCCCCGGATTCACAACAGTTAACAGCCGGCAGCTTGCTTTCTCTCTTTCTCTTTGCCTACCTAAATAACAATAAACAGTATTTTTTTGTTTCTAGTCCGTTATTTAGGTTAGGCATTACTTCAAATGAATGGCTTCCAGCATCAAACGAAACGTATCCACGCCCAGATTCTGACCTAAGTTTAGCAGGCAAGAAGATTGCTTACTGCGCTATTACAAATGTAACAACAAACAAATGCTATGGCAACACATCGTTCTTTTGAATTTTTGCGCCATACTGCTTTTTAGTCATCCGCAGCAGTATCGAAACCGAAACTTACAGCAGTGGTGAACTTCCTTTCTACATCGGAGCTCGTTGTTGAAGCATCGGGAAAATGGTAAATCTCGAAGTTTTCAAGTTTTCAGGATCATCCTGTTGCCAATGGGTTGTGAATACTCTTAGCAACGACGTGTGCGTATAGCTGTAGTGCGCGAAAAATGTGATATTGAGTAATCGAACCAATATTCGTGCATAAATAGTATAGGCCTCGACTGGGAAAATGACCACGTTGTGAGTTGTTATCTTAAGAATTCAAAATTCGCATCAGTGAGCTGAAGTGAAGTACTGCTACATAATGTAAATTATTCTAATTTATCACTTGCAGTTAGTCCGCTATAGTAATAATATGCTAATCAGGTAAAATATGTCTGTCCAACTTGAACACATGTTCATTTACTTGAAAGAATATCGAAATGAATGTCCTGTATGTCAGATTACAACAGTTTAGACAAAACCCGGAGTTTCGGATTTGATATATTTCTGTACGAATTCATAACTCCTATGAATATTGCTTTTTATATTCCGAATGGTAAATCTGAAAGTCAGATTTTTAACTGCAGCCTTTCATTACACGTTACAGCCACCCAAGAAGGACACTAAAGGAAAGGCGGATCCGTCGAAGTCCGGAAAAAAGAAAGAAGGTTCTGGAGGAGGAAAGGCTAAAAAGAAGAAGTGGTCGAAAGGAAAGGTTCGCGATAAGTTGAACAACCTCGTGTTATTCGATAAGGCAACGTACGACAAGCTCTACAAAGAGGTTCGTGTATCATACAAAGCACGAAATAACCACAATGTGTTTTGCATAAAACTAAATGAACTATATTGAGTAATGTAAGCCTTTACACGCGGACGTGAATATATCCATCTTCTCTTGGTGGTTTGCCGTGTCTGTGTTTTCTTTACTGGTTTGAAAGGATTGTGCATGTGAGCTTCACAAGGTCTTATCATCATCGGTAAACATGTACACGCACGTAAGCTAGGTGCCACAGGGGATCGTCGTTGTCTTAAAAATCTTTATTTTGATCAGCGCACTTTTGAAAATTCTTAGACCGTAAGGATCAGAAGACAGCCGTACGTGAGACAGTATTGCAAGAAATGACGAGTTTATGGAAACGTTCTCAGATTGGTGTTCACGTCTTGCAAGTAGGGACGTCTCCTTCCCGTAGTCTTGTGGCTTTGGCTTGCATATATTATCTGTTTCGCTAAAGCTATAAGACTGCGGTCAGGAAGGCATCTCACATCATCAGCTTACAATGGACACAGTCGACACAGAGGTTAAACGGCGCACATACATCAACGCTACAACGTAATTCTAGTGGTGGAGTTACAACGTGGCATTAGGCTTGTAACAAGATAAAAGTGAAGAACGAAGTTTGCATGACTGGTAGAAAATATAGCTTCTGCTATAGCTATCTATGCGGGTACGAATAAACTAGCCGGAAACGAACATCTTCGTGAATAAATTGGCCGTTATGGTCTAATTATTAACCATGTTTGCTCTTTTGGTTTGTAGGTTCCATCATATAAACTGATTACGCCCTCCGTAGTATCCGAGCGTCTGAAAATTCGTGGCTCTCTAGCGAAGAAGGCTCTGGAGGAGCTTATGGAGAAGGGCCAAATCAGGCTCGTCTCGAAGCACCACTCTCAGATCATCTACACGAGGACAACGAAGGCTGAGGATGCTTAAATGAATAAATATTCGATCCTCGAAAATCTGTAAATGTGGTAGTGTCTTTATTTTGAAGATGGGTCTTTTTTATATCAAAACTTGGTCACTGCGTGGTAGCACGTATATACTTAGTTCGATGATGTAGCATATGCGAATATGCAAACGATTTGAGTTTAAATGTTTTACTCGCTAGTTGATACATTTGTGCCCGATTAATATAGATTAGTGTAGAAAGATTAAACAGCATATTTTGAAACAGCCTTCCTTAACTATTTGTGTTTGTTTATGGTTGAAAGCGTAAAATGTACTTCATATCCCGCGAGCTATCCTTATCTTGTCGGTAGTGTCTAGCATCCGGTAGGTTTAACTTCAGATCTCCTCGGGACTCCTATGTGTGTGAGCCTACCGTTGTGGTGGCACTTATTATTATGGCGGCTGTCCGCCCCACCCAATGGAATTGATTCCCACCTTCGCAGACCTGTTGTCGATGGAGTAGAAGGGAGCGTATTATCCTGGCTTCTAGCCGAAAATTGGTATAAAATCGAGGACGTATAAAGTCTACACACTTTGTCCGGAAAATTGCGAACCATCAGCCGCTGTACGATTGTTTACATCTAGGTGGTTTTGATGACAGGTTTGCATTGTCCAACAGCAGCAATTTTGGCGGACGCTGCTCCTCTCGAACTATTTCGGCAATGTGCAAAATCCTTGCATGTACTAACCGTCCATGCTTTACGCAGCCTACTGGGTACTGCAAGTTTACTGATGTAGTTGGAGTGACCATGGCGAAGACAACGCTTAGGGAATCCGCACCACAGCCTTGGAGCTTCGCGTGCCAACATTGCTGAGCCTTCCAAGTGTGGATTCTCTTGCCCTTGCGGAAGCGGCATGTTTCAGGCCAGTTCGCACCCTTCGTATAAATTGGCTATCCACTCTGATGAAGCTCGCAGAAGTAGCAGATTTTGTAGATATACGGACGTTAGCCAGGAACCCGTCATATCGACCTTTACCTCCAGCTCATCCAGCAACCTTTGCTTAACGCATGCAAACAGTCAACGAATATATACAGTTTTCATAGAAAATAATATGTTCAAATGCAAAATAATCTGTTTATCTTTTGTTTTAGATAGCTCAGTGGGGTTTGAACAAATGTACGATTCGCCTGTTAGCTTGTGCTTTCGCCATTTATGACTCATAACCCTTATGAAGACCAATTTGTATTCGGTTTCGAATCTACGTTTCTTGCAGCGTATGCGCTACACCAAAAAGCTGATATTCTAGATTGTCGCCGCCAACTTGCCTCTAATGTATATGATAAATTCTCTTTATATATAATTGTTACTGTCAGGTGAGATTCGGGTCAAGAGGTGGACGATCGACAGTCTTTTCAAAACGACGTTGTGGTAATCCATAAAAATCTACTAGACTTATGTGGGACCAAAGGCTTGCTGACAATTATATATATATCACATATACATTATATATTTAAAAAGAAAAGTTATTGGTCCGGTTTAACTAAAATAAATAAACCATATATTTTCGTTGCTTCTGTAGCAAGGGAACCGTTCGGGCAACTCGGCTTCCTTTTAAGAAGAGGAAGGAGTTTTTTTCTGAGATCGTCCCATATAGCCGTGCTCCACCACGGTCGTGAATAAAGCCACACACGGATTACACTCGCAGATAATACTGCGCTTTTGGATCAACCTAGTCGACAGACTACTTGCGATACTCATCTCGGCCCTCAAATCCTTCGACACGCCTTTTCGGCTTGACCTTGTCGAACACGAAGGAGACGCCGTCTGATTAATTAAACATTCCATGACTCTCCTGACCAGTGCATTTAGATTGCCAACCATCCCACCGCAACCACCAAAATGAAACAAGCTGACTTAGTCTTGTCTCTGGCTGGCAGGAACGAGCACCTCTTAGCCACCTGCTTAGTTCTTACAGAGCCATATCTGTGTACTTATTTTATCTGTACTATTATATTTGATCTATTACAATATATATTAAAAATTATAATCTCTGTAACGAGCTGATAAGTATATAATCTTCCATTATAGCGACAGAGTTGATATTTGGAAAGGTAATTGACAACAAATAGGTCAAGTAAGCTGAGTAAAACCGATTTAGTTTTGAGGATTAGGAGTTCGCCAATAATTCATAATTCAGTACATGCAGCAGGGTTATACGACATGTGCAGTTTGCACCTATAGTTTGCCTCTTTTTCGAATATTCATCGTATCTTCGTATATGTGAGGCGTCGTAGCTGAATTTTCTAGAAAAAAAGATACTTTAAAAACCTAGCTTTTTTATTTAATAACTGCTGTTTTATTTCCTACGCCGACATGACCTATTGAGCCATATAAATAGGATTGTTTTACAAAAAAAAAAACGTTATTTTTTCGCAGAAGCAAGGAAAACATAAATCCAAATGATTTTTGTAATAACAATTATCTATGCAACGTAAAGATCACGTCAAAGGAAGTTTAATAGGTGGCTTTACTTTCTCATGTTCATTCCCGCTAGCTTAATCGAGATGGCCTAAGAACGGCGCCGGAGACGTAGGACTTTACAGTTCTGAGTACGAATCTCGCAGAATAAATATAACTCGGGGCAGTCCTCTACTTACAATTTTTTAATTATAATTTTATTTTAAAAAAATTATTTACTATAGGTACAACATCAACTAAGGTTTTTACTTTCAAATCGATAGGCAGTTTGTTCGTGAGGCTTAGGGATTGCAGTCTAAGTTCTGGCTTTTTGACTAAAGGTAAGGATGGTTTGTAGACTCATTGACGTATTTTAAAGCCCAGACACGTTTGCAGAGCATATTTTGCGTAAGATGTAAAAGAAAGATTAGAAACAAGAAATCGAAGAAAGTCAGTATTCATTGCTCAAACAAGGTATTAAACAGTTATTGAGCTGCATAAGTACCTAAATTTGTTCACTCAAACAAAAGAGGTATACAAAAGTTTTAGGGTTCAACCCTCTACATGTTTTACCTAGGACTTTGCAACTTTAGTGAATGATAAGTCAAAAAATATTGACGAGTACTTATAGCCAAAAAAAATAATTTTATTCAAAACTCTTTATTATGCCTTCACTTATTTTTCAATAAACAACATTTTAATAAAATGGTTACGTAAACATTACTACTCTATAAGACTTAATGTGGTTCATAAGACGATTGTTTTTTGAACATGTACATCATTCACATAACGTACGCTATTGAGTTATTAAGCTATATTAAGTGCTATCTAGTTATTTAGTTTTAATGCATACATACATATACTTTGCATTCATGCATATTTTGATATATATTATTGATATATGATACCGTTGCATCCAACACAGATGTAGTTCAGCCGTTTCACTTGTTTGGTGAACAGGATATTGCTTGAAAGAGCACACGTATTCGTTTGGCGTTCAGTTTTTAACCATCAAAACTTTAGTCCTAGTAGCTTCGACTGTAAGGCATAATAAACAGTTTCTCAATAAATTGGTAATTTCTCAGATACCTCGTATTTTTGTTTGAAATGGTTTAAGCCGTGTAGTTTACGCCTTATCAGGCCCAATACAGCAATGTTAATCGAGAACGTCTTGATACCTAAGCTCCTTAAATGTTAGGCGAAATACGTCTCAGAATGTTGTAAGTCGTCAAAGAAGGCTAGCAGTAAGGTGTATTTCTATTAAACGATGAAATTTATTTAACGAACTAGGAAGTGCGTCTGAATGCACGGCTCGCAGAACATAAATAATGTTTGTTCCATTTTTGTGATCTTCTTGCTAGCGTTAAGCTAGGATTATTGCAAAAAAGACAAAAGTTCATCCCGGTATCAATAGGCATAATGTTTATCGTCTTCAATCGTAAAGAATGCACAGAAGTAACATTGTTTTAGCGTTTCACTTGTAAACATGCTTTGTTGCTATATTTGGCCCCAATACATTCCTCAATGGTCTGAGGAAGATACCTTTCTCGTACGTGTCCTACGTAATTTCTCAAGAAAGCGTAGGAAAGAGCAAGCACTCGGTAGTTTTTACTTCGCGAGATACTATTCCAATTCTACGAATTTATATGTGACAGTTATAAGCGTTCATTACAAAACTGTGGTTATTTTTAACAAAATGCAATTGCCTCAAATGTTGAAATTAGCTTGACGTCTTGTTTTTCCTCTTTACTGAGAAGCTTGTTTCCAGAGCGGAAAACAACAGCTGCTTGCATTCCAGCGGTGCGAGCGGCTATATATTCTTCATATACATCGGTCAGGAAAAGCACATGCTTTACTGGGCAAGAGATCCTTTTGGCGATTGCCGTGTAGGAGGACGGCTGCGACTTTGAGCCCGCTGTCGTAAGATCGTGAAATGAATCGAGGATGTCTAAAAGCGACCCGTATTGGGTGTGTTCGAACAACAGACGCTGAGCAAATATACTACCTGTTCAAGACAAAAACAACATTAATTTAAAAGATGAACAAATATGTCACGCAAAATTGTAGTATAAATAAATTGCTACAAATATATGTTGCACTAAAGACCGATTGTCCTCATATAAACAGTTAGAAAATGATGCAGAGTTCCTTGTTTTTATTTTGCTTTTTCCTTTGCTCGTGCATGTTCCTGTTTTAACTACCATAACAGTGTACATCCTGTCGCGAACCGACGGCGGTTTAAATGATTGACTTAGATAAAAATGTGATCTTTGATCAAATGTCCGGCATATCCTCACAGAAATGACGTATGTGACGCATATACGGCCTTTGGAACGCAATATTATTTGTTTCACTTTGTTTATTTAGAAGAAACGAAGTTGAAAAAACCTTACGACAATGATTATTATGGTATGGGAGCGATAGAGCCGTCAAAGGTAGATATATAACTTCCCACAGACATCAAAACGTGTTACTTATTTTCTCACAACTTAATTGTTGCATTTCTCTCAGTTTCAGGATCGTTTTTAGTGATTGCAACTGTGTTTGACAAAGAGAAATCATTCATAGGTACCTCATGTCAACCTGTGTCATTTTTGCCTATATATTATCCCCTAATCCGTCTGTTTTCTGGCCCTATTTCAACTCACCTAGAATAGAGTGCACTACGTCTACTTAGATATTCTATGGCGCCAATGTTCTGTAATCGGGCTCGAAGTGGCAATTTCGATCAATTTATACAGCTGGTTTATTTGCCTTATGCAATTTTCGATTTTAATGAAATGTTATATGTTTAATGTTTGAGAACAAAATTTGGTTTATGTTGATGCTAATAATACAATGGATATGATAATAAATTACCATTCAAGTGCAAATTTTCTCAAAAATTATGTAACATAAACATTCAATGAACACAATATCAAAAGAACTGAATTAGACTTTCTGCTCACTCATTGTGGAGACTGACTAAATGTCCCCTTACAGGGCAAAAAACTCAATAATTCCTTTCCAATAAATAGAGTACATCAACTGTGCATCGTGCGTGTATGCCACTTATTTGCCAAAAAGATAATATTCCAAATGATAATCATAATATTTTTATGTATGTAAGTTTTCTTGAATGGGTAGTATAGTAGGCGTCAATTTGGATAAATGTACGATACGCTGACATAATAAAAAAAGAACTTATCAGTAAATAAAAAAAAATTACTGAATTTCACTTGAAATTTGAATTCTGTATTTCGCTAACATTGGCATCTTTAACTTTAGTCTGATTGTTATACGCACACAGCTCGATTGCCAATTAAGTCCTTGTTGGCTTTTAGCCCCAAAAAATTCAACAAGTTGGTTATCACTCACCAGATGAGTAAATGCCGATTTTGATCCCTTTTTCATTCCACTTCTTCAGCGCAGGATACACATCCTCATAAAGATTTGCCACCAGCTCATGCTTCTGATAGCCTGCAAACCATATCAAGCCTTGAAGAGTTTTTAGTCCCGCTGTTTTTAAATCTCTATCCATCTGAAAGAGCAATGAGATTAAGTTTAATTTAAGTTAAGTGTCTATTACCTCAAAATGTACAAGAATTCATGTGCTACCGAAAAACTCCGGTAGAGAATTTATTACTTGGTACCTCATAAGACCGATCTTCATTTCACTAGCGGTTCCTCAAAATATTCGTGATTTAGTTGTTTCAGTACACACATGACTTCACATATTTGCTTGTTAACGAAAACTGTGTTAATAATCTTAAAAAGAAAAATAAAAACACTGATGTATCTCATGGCAATGCAAAGATAAACTTTTCAACAACAAGACTACAGTCTGCAGTAATAGAGTTCTCCTTTCTTACAGATCGGAATTATAATACTCTCCTAATTTCACAGCGTTCGTATTACGCTTCCAATGACCTTCCCGGATTAGTTGGCCGCGAGGGCCCGCCTCGGTATATTTCAAAAGAAATGACCGCTGCTGTAAACCAATGGGTATAAGGGAACGGGTCGGTGCAAAATAGGGACGATATACATCGTTTTTAGGATGCAGCCTGCGGAGTGAAAAACTTCAAGCAAATAAACCAAAAATACCGACCAAACTAGTAATGGAGGGAGGAGTCCCCGGAAATAAATAGAGTGCAATGGGACTCGAAGGTAGCTTAAGCGTGAGGAAACCGGCGGGTCCTAAACTGGGCTCCAGGGGACTTGAAAAGTTACAAGCAAAAAAAGAATAGCCATTCGCAAAGGGGTCAGTGTCAGTAAGACTGCTTGTCTGAGGAACTTTGGTAAAGAAACACGGATGGAATCGACTCTGTGAGTTCGTTAACGGAAAAATATGCAGAATCAAAAAAGCAGACACGTCAACGGAAGAGAAGGAGAAAGTAATAAGGTCTTGCCCTTCGATTATGTTGGACTAAATCCGGGGGGATCCCATTTGTCACAAAAAACAAGTGGCTACAGGCGGAGAAGTGAATTAAGTCGGGCAAGGCGCCGCGTACCGATAAGCTTCCGTCCATAGTTATGAACTGCCTTCTTTAGGTAAGAAATATGTTCCTCGCAATCCTCTTGAAAAAAGCTTTCAATAATTTTTCTTTGTGGACAGCACTCACCTGCTCAAAAGGGGGACAGACATTACAACATTTGATCTTTTTGGTTTCGAACCATTACAGGACAAATTGGTGGTCAATGGGGAGGTTTCTTTAGTTCTTCAGGGATCACTTCTGAATTCCTTGATAAATACTAATGTATGATGCTATCCTACGGCTGAGGGACGCCTTCTCGAGATTAAAGAGATTGCTTATGTGAATGATTTTGCAGTTACTGTGGGGTCGAAGACGGCCGCGGAGTTTTAAAATAGAGCCAATCGGATGCTAAGACAAATTTTGACACAGATGACAGCTTATGTGTTGCTTCTAGCCTTAGCAAAATAGTTTTTGGAGGAAAAATAATCATCTTTTATGTTCACCTTCAAGGGGTAAAGGATCAAGCTCGTTAAAAAGGCGAGATACTTAGACCTCTAACTTCGCCACGCAATGAGCGGAATTTAATATACTAAGCAAACCGTTGAAAATGCAGCCAGCACATTAATGAAAATGGCCAGAGTTCTACCGAACATTCACGGTCGTACAAGGTACCTATGGTCGTGCGGAGATAATAACGGTTTTCGGGGCCCTTACCTGGGCTATACCGAAGGCGTTCGTCGACGCCTTTGTTCAAACGCAGCGGGTGTTGTTGCTTAGGATCACTCAAGCGTACCGCATTGTGTGGCCATGATGCTTGCCAGAACTACTTTCTAGGACGTAAAAGTTAAAATGAAAATACATCTTATGAGCTGAGCTAACAGAGGATGAATCCGGAATAACCCTCAACATATGCCAAGAAAAATGCAGTGCAGTACTTAGATTCAAGATAAATGCAGCTGTGAGAGTCACTATTTTGGATATAGAGACCTGGATAACAAGCTTGGTAGAGAGCTTACCCACTATTTTCCACAGCTCCTTATTAGCAATGGAACACTTTAAAGCCACCTTCACAGAATTGGCAAAGCGCCGTCAGATACCTGTGTTTTAAGCACAACGAGTCTCGAGAACATAGGTAAACACCCTATATACCGTTAGCACATGGTTGACCGTGTCCTCGAGGCTGTCTGTACTCTGCAGTATGCGATATGCATCACGGGAGGTTATGATATTTTTATGCAATGATATGAAAGTATTTGTATCTGTTTTTACCCGACGGCGCAACAGCTGAGGCAAAGAAAAGCTTTTGCGAGGAAGGTATTAAGGGAAAAGGAACGTCTTCTTAGATTGCGGCAAACCAATATAGAAGGCAAGTACAGGTAAAGGACGATGAGTGGGTGACTACTTCCTCAGCCTGTACCGCTGTAAAATGAAGAGCTGGGCTGTTAAAGAACGATAAGGAAAAATAATCTTATAAAAAAAGCATGTCACTCATTCATTAATAAGTCGCACCGACTCACCATTTTAATCATAAAGACTGAAACTTTTTTATAAGTCGTTCGGTTGTATATATATACACATGGAATGCTAGACTTAAATTCAAACTTTTTCTGATGCATGGTTCTCAAGGCTGTATCTGAATAAAAAGAGATATTTTAACGTAATTGTTTTCTTGTGTTAAAAGTATCATTTCAAACAATTATGATTATTCTCCGTTATGTCTGTTCACCTTGAATGCATCTTGCATTCGGGACTTGATCTACACATTAGTTGGTTTTGAAGTATTTTTTCTTTAGCGCGCGATAACTTTTTATCAATAGTAATCCTGCGTTAAGTGATATTGTCAAACGTGGGCATAATAAAATGGCGTTTAAATATGCTCTACAAAAAAAACTGGAAAAACAGAAAACAGAACTACATTTTAGGATAGTAATAGGAAAAAGTGTCAAAAACACAAGTTTTCACAAGAGCCGAAAAATCCAAAAAATTTAAAAAGGCGCAAAAAGCTCAAGAAGGCTAATCTACAGAAAAAGTCCACTTTTCGAGTCGAGGGTATCTGTCACTGAAATATCCGGATGAGTTTTAAAGGTTAATCTTCTCTGAACTTTTAATGCTTTTTTATACCTTTTGGACCTGTTGGTTCCTTATGTTTTTAGAACATTTATCCGCCAACATCCGAAGGTGTAATTACTAATTCCAAAAATAATAAGGCTTAATTTTTGCAAGCATTTTGGTAAGCTTGTGCGTTTGTGTGTAAATTTAAAATTTAAACCCAGTTGAGGTTTTGCTTCAAAGGAATTTTCCTCAGATTTTTCAGAAGGTGCGTGAACCCTAGCAATAACTGCGACTGTTAATTCCAGGCGGAAAAGGAAGTCTTCAAATTTGATCGGTGTATGGACCATCGTAAAGAAGTTGTGTGATAGCTACTCTTCGTTCATGGGCGGTGGAGCGGCTGTCACGCTTATGATGAGCTTTTGTCTCCCCTTGCGTGTTTAAAGCCGCACTGTGCTTGCGAATTATGGTGGAGAAAACATTTTAAATCAAAGCCACATTTTCCCTATATAGGGTTCCTTTTTTATTTCTAGAGCTAAAAAGAGTCAACGCAAACTGCTGACGAGATTTCTAATATTAGGTTAGTAATGTCAGACAATGGAATTATAGTAAGTTCGTTGGATTAAAAATAAACACGGAAAGGTTTACAAGCAGATATGTTTAAATAAAAATAGAGGCTAAAAAATGAATACACGGCACCGTTCTTATTCTAAAGACTATGATCGGCAGCCTTTTTAGTAAGAAAATAAAATATATATTTCGTTCTAGAATATAAACAATATTACCTGCCAGAAAACATTTTTAATGACGGATTTCTTATCGGTCTTGTCGACGAGAGGGGATTCCGGATTTGTTTTCGAAAACTCTTGAATGTCTTCGATGGCTTGCTGCACGTCACTCCCCAACCAACTCTCCTCTAAAAACTTTTCAAGATGCTCACGCACATATGCGAATAGAATATCTTTCACGAACGAAATCGGGAGCACTGTGCCTTCGATATCAAGCAGAATGTACTTCACTGCTGACTCCTCCATTTTGCTTCTACAAATAAACGCCATACACAATTCAAGAAAATAAGCGCCTTGTTGTCAAACTTGCTTCAATCACGGAAAGCTCATATAATCGGTGACCGTTTTAACACATTACAAGGTTTAACAATTTTACTGTTTCGCATCTTTTCACATATTATTCATCATATTTATTCATCTTAAGTATTAAGAAAAACCTTTGGAATATTTTGATATCAAACGATTGATTAAACAGTTGATTTCTACAGAAATTTCCTTAAAACTTCGTTTTTTATTTTCGTATCAATAAGAGTTTAGTCATTTTAGATATATGTATATTGTTCCTTCAAAAAACACGCCAACACTATGTGGCATCTATAAGCAAAGTGCATGAATACTCATGTGGAGTAAATATTCTTATCTTCAAAATTAAAAATGCCATTTCTGAATGCCTAGTTACGTAAATAATGAAGCTTGTTGGCGCCATTGCGGTACAACAAAATATAATTTACATGATGCTGTTCTTATGCCGCGACGACAAGAATAACCGACCAACCAAACACAATAATGGATTTTACTATATACTGTAAATAGCTCCACTTGCAGCTACGCGTAGATCCAAATTTTAAAAACATTACTCCTCAATTTTTTGGTAAAAAATTTGCGTACAAAGCCTTATAACCATTGATGAAATACCCACACATTAGGATGTGAATGACTTCGTATAGAAATTGCATAGCTGGACATAAAATGTTTTGGTGTTAACGAAACATGCTACCTAGAAGTTAATTTTTAAAATCAATCAAGTATCAAAGCGTATTGATGGTGAATCAATGGTAATCTAGGCTGTAAACGCGTAAAATGTAAAATAATATATTTGAGGATACAGTTTAATTACGCACAAATGCTCAGCCGCAAGCTCGTTCAAATATTACTGCGATGTGACCCGACTGAGAGAAAATTACAGAATAATTACATCTTAGTGTAACCGCCAATGGTACCACTTATATATTACATTATCTAAACAGAGGTCTTACAGTCGTACAGATGTAACTTTTAATCCCTTCAAGCTGGAAGGTTGAGGGAATTTTTTTTCTAGTTAAGTATCTTTGAAATGTATTGTTGATGATATCAATATATAGATCGCATTTTTCTGTCGGTCTGAAAGTTTTATTTTCTGAAACATAGAATGCCTGCTGCGCACGCCAATACATTCATCCATCTAGCGCTAAATGGTTCACCATTTATTATTAGAGGCGGATATTTTAGCCAATTGTTTTTTACCTCTATAGTTTCCAACGAAAAACTGGATGGTACTCACGTTAAAAATGGCAATACTGAACTTTAATCATAAGTTTTCAGTTTTTGTCGGCAGATACAATGCTTACGTATATCACCCGCATTCATTTAAGCTCACCGGGTTAACAGTGTGAACGACTTAAACGGCTGTTTGTGTCCTTCCCGTTCGTTTTGTTTTCGATTGACGACTCGTCGTCGATAATAACGCGATTCTACCCGACGATTCAGTGACTGGGTAGCTGTCGGCCTTTTCTCGACTGCTGCTGCTGCTGTTGCTATCATGATCGGGCGCGCGTAGTTGTCTCTCTCTCTTTTGCGCTTTCTGAATCGCGGCTATTTGCATAGCCGAAGACGGTTGGCGCCGCCGCCGTCGTTGTCGTTGACGACGACATGAGCTATCACCTGACTGTCGGTCGGTTTCGCGGCCGGTGGTTATGAGCACTCTTCCTTGGACTCATTTAAATGTTGGCGCTCTTCTTGATGAAGCGATATCATTCCGCTACGCGCACAAAGATCTTGTTTGCGTCGTACTGTCAGTAAAACGGCTTGTGCTTGTTTGCAATGCGGCTCACACGGCGCTGTATTATCTTGTGAATTGTATTGATTTAACTGTATTGTGGAGTCTGGTCGTTTGTGCGAGTTCGATCAAAGACTCGGTGTGGTGGTTGACGATGGCTAGTGAGGCAGCCATGGAGGAAGTGAAGGCTTTTAATGCCGAGGTTCGTATATTTCATTATAGTGTTATCCTATTCTCCTGCACTAAATCGAGTCGACTCTCGGCCGGACACAGCTTCTCAGCCAGTATCGCCGCTACAAGCAATTTTGGCGGCGCTGATGATGGTCAGTCTGCAATTATCAAGAAAATCATGTCTCTGCCATTGCCCTCTACTTTAGTCGGATTTGTGGACGATGGGAAATTTTGGTTATTTTATTTAGATGATACACGATATCGCCAGAACGGATGTGTATATGTCTTTCCATCTAGTCCATCATTTAGCAATAAGCGCTGTTCAGCTGCTACTGCAGTTTATCGAACTCCCTACAAATGATAAATGAAACCACTCTATTAATAATTTATGCTAGAGCTCAAGCTTCGGAAGTGTAGAAATTCTTCACAGACACCGCGTTAATTGCCTCTTGTCCTGAACAAAGTACCTATATCGAATATCACAGCATTTAAATGAACAAATGTTCGAACATCGGCATCCCGAGTATGAAATCTGGTTCGTAGAGCTGTTTAAGATCGCTGTAATTCCCAATTTTTGAACGTTTAGTTCTCGTCCGAAGTTTAACGTGAAAATGCTAGTATTTCTATTGAATATAGGTAAATTTAGTGCTAAAATATACAGTTGTTACGATTGGGTGATGATGTATAGATACGTACGTGACCTTATCGCAACCAAACCCTACCTCTTCATCATAATTGGTTGTCTAAGCTAATTTCAGCAGACACATGAAGTGTGTGAAAGAGAAATTGTACGTTTTGTTGCGGATGTTTCATATTGACTAAAGTTTGACTGTTCAGCAAACTTTTCTTGCTATCTTTGACTATGTGAGCTGTCTGCCAGTGCTATTTCCAGCATTGGTGTACATACAAAAACAATTATAGCATCCAGGAAAGTGTTTTCCTCCAAGCTAATTATGCACATTACAATTAGTAAAGCGTATCGGCTTACCAAAGTCTTGGAAAGTGAAGCTGGCATTTTGCAGATGTTGACACTTACGTAGGAAACTTGTTATTGGCATTCTGTTTCTTTTGCAACGCCCAACAAGCTAAACGAATGCGCTCAAATACACGCTTTCATCATTCTTTAATGACGCTCGTTGTTCGATCTAAGTGCTCAAAAATTGAATGATTTGCGTTAATCCTAACGACTAATTATTAATTTTGCAATTAAGTTTGGCATTTTACTAAAGCGTTCTCCAAATGACTCAGAAGAAACCCTTTTTACACAAATGATTAAACTTTTAGAAATGAAACAAAAGAGGGGTTAAAAATGTAACACACGTGCATCACGGTGTTTTTAATCGGAGCTTTTTGTGAAATCTGAGCATAGACATGGACAACTTGCAAATTAAGTAACAGTCAGAACAAAAAGAGCTAACAACTGGAATTATTGTACAAAATTGGAAGGATAATCCCACTGCCCTTTAAGGTGTTCGAATACAGAAGACGGCCTTAAAATTGACCCTCATTTGAGTATAATGTTACAACGCCCTTAGTTCCTATTCTAAAAGCGTAATTTTTCCGCAAGGGTCGCTGCTGTTTCAATATGTAAAATCTATCTATTTGTAAAGACACAACCATATATTAGCAAAGTATGATATAATAGTAATAATATATGGCGACTTTCATTTTGTTTGTTCGATGCACTTTTTAGCTCCAGTCGTTATACGAAACCAGGCCGCCAGTTTCGAAAGCGAAGATGACAGATATTACGAAGAGGGCGATGAAGACCGTGAAACTCTACAAGCATGTCGTCCACTCCGTGGAAAAATTCATCCACAAGTGTAAACCCGAATATAAGGTTGGCAATACTAAAATTCGTTAGGATTTATTTCTTTACTTATTCTAAGATAGCCTTAGATAAGCGCTCGTTTATATATATGTACCGACATTTTGTTCTTGTGATTTTTTTTATAACAAGTTTGTCATCTTCTTGCATGTAGGTATGGTTTAACGGCCAAAATGGGAAATGAAAACGACATATTTGAAAAACAGGTTTGGTGGAAAAAATATCGGTAAATCCCCCATAACCTAAGAAGTGCGAGCGGGGATCAAGGTAACATTTTATGCGTTTGTTTGGACATGGCTGATCATTTACGAAGCGTTTGGCTGTAAAACTTGCAAAGTTTTCGCGTTCCACGTAGTACATAGGAAGTTATGATTTTGAAAAAAAAAACGCCATTTCGTGTTTTATGTGGTTGGCTATAACAATAGGCTGGACATTTTTAAAATTTATTAATAGTTTAGCAGTTTGATCTCGCTAACGGCCTTATATTCACATGGCATTTTCAAAAATTAAAATTGGTAAGAGCTCAATAGCTGCAAAGGAAATTTGCTCAAAGGTGGAATACAGAAAGTGTAAAGAATACGGAAGTACGGGCATGGGACATCTACTGTAATATCATAGTATACATAAAAGTGGGTGGATTCCGCTTATGTGCGATACTGCTGGTTATTGAACAAGTCGAAGGTATCAGATAAAAGCTCCCTTTTACCAAAACACAGTTGTGTTGTTACCAATAATGTAATTTCGAATTTACAGGTCCCTGGATTGTATGTTATCGATTCTATCGTCCGACAAAGCCGGCATCAATTTAAGGCTGAGAAAGACGTGTTTGCTCCACGATTTCAGAAAAACATCAAAAACACATTTCAGGCTCTAGTAAAATGTCCAGAAGATGAGCGACCTAAAATAGTGCGAGTTCTAAATCTTTGGCAAAAGAATGGCGTATTTCCTATTGAAGTTACACAGATGCTTCATGAAGTTGTTGCAGCTGCACCTTCAATCAAGCCACCTGAGTCTCGCAATGGTTCTCGAGAAGAAGCGATTAAAGCAACAGTGGAAGATCCGTCCTTGGCGACAAAGATTTCGACAATGGCATCTCAACTCAAAGAGCAAAGTAAAGAAAACAAGCCAGCTTTTGATCGAAAATTACTAGACTTTGATTATGGAGAAGAGGAAGATGATAAACAGGCTCCACCGCCCCCGCCACCGGTCACAATCCCTCACCCAGCGGAAACGAAAATTGAAGATGTGCACAAGATTGCCAATAGTGTCCTCAATCCTTCAATGCTCGAATCTATCCAAAAAGCGTTGGCAGCACAAGGAGTAGGACAAATAATAAAATCTGATTCAGCAGCTCCTCCTGAAATGATGAATTTAGCTATGGTGCCACCTCCCAGCACCGTTATGCACCCTAACCCATTTGCTATTCCTGTTATGGTAGCAAACCCATTTGCAGCACCACCACCACCACCTGCAACCTCGGCTGACACCGACATTCGTCAGCAAATTGTAACTAGTGGAGGAGGTGGCAAGGATGAAGACCTTCGACAACGAGACGATTCTAGAAGAAGACGTAGTCGCAGTCCTGGTGGCCGACGGCGGTCGAGATCAAGGTCAGGCAACCGATCTTCGAGAAGACGCGACCGTTCAAGGGATCGACGGCGAGACCGAAGTAGCTCAGTTGACCGAGAAAAGGAGAGAGAGCGCTTATCGAAAGGACTTCCTCCTATGAAGAAGGGCTGCGTTACCTTGTGCTCTAATACGTTGTGGCTTGGCCATGTGTCTAAAACTACTACCGAATCGGACCTCGAAGCAAGTTTCGGAGAGTACGGAAAAATTCTCAGCATTGATGTAAGTCATTACTCAGTCCGCGTAACAATGTATTATCTTTAATAAATAAAATAAGAACAGTGCCAATTGGATCGACCTTTTCCTTATAGATTAGGACAAAACAACAGTTTAAAAATGAACAGACAGGAGAACCTATAATCTATGCTTCTTAACGAGTAACGATTTTGTTTTTACAGATTATTCCCCCGCGAGGTTGTGCATACATTTGTATGGACCGACGACAGGACGCGTACCGTACTCTGCTTAACAAACGCAACATCCGCATGAAGGGATCAAGTTCACGTATTAAAATTGCTTGGGCTCCACACAAAGGAACCAAGAACCACAAGGAGCTCAAAGATTTTTGGGATGTAGATCAGGGATGCTTCTACATTCCAGATGATCGAATGCCAGCTGTCACAGATCTGTCACAACTGGAGGATGGCGGCATGATCGATATCGACTCCATGTCAGATGACCTTCGTCAACGCTATGATATGGTGAAATCGGGTGGTAAAACGACTTTACCAATGGGGGTACCACCTGTAGTTCCAGCCGGGATTCCGCTGCCGTTTGGAGTTCCCCCAGTGAGTGCAGCATTCCCGATACCCGCCATTCCGACTCCGACTGGCACTCCCCTTCCAATGATCGGTATGCCATCGATGCCGCCCATGCCTCAAATGCCTTCGATGATGTCAATGCTTCCCGCAGGAATGATGCGTCCTGCCGTACCCCCTGCACCACCTACTGCACCACAATTACCTTCAGCGTCGCCTGTTTCAACAAGCTCAAACGGCAGTGTCGTTCCTCCACCGCCACCTCCACCTTTGACTGGTGTATCTCCAGTACCTGCGCCATCATCATCATCTGTTCTTTCACCATCTAGCAGTGATAACCAGCCTCTTTCACGGCCACCTCAGACGATGAGTTCAGCAGGTAGTTTTGGCCCTCAGGGAGTTCGTGGTCCGGTACCTACTTCCCGGGGCCCGATGGGTCAGATGGGTGCCGGACCGATGGGAAGCCCAATGGGTGGGCCTATGGGAGGTCCCATGGGTGGGCCTCGGGGAACAATGGGTCCAATGGGAAATATGGGAATGGGCGGTCCTCGAGGTCCCATGGGCATGCCCATGGGTGGTCCGATGGGACCCATGGGGCCTATGGGTGGGCCAATGGGTCATCGGATGCCAGTGGGACCGAGAGGTCCTGGAATGCGAAACGGACCTGAAGGGCATATGGACACTCCAATGGATATGCCCCCCAGGTGTAAGTAATAGTGTATTTTGCATAATCCGCCTTTTTTAGTAGTTTAATAATGCATGAGCAATGCAAATACTATAATAGCTTTAATATATTTGAAACCTTACACCGAAATTCGAATTAGAGGTGCATAATTTGTTGAATCTTTACAGTTTCACAGGTAGGAAATCAGCAAGTTATGGTATTAAAAGCATATCTGTTAATATGAAGTTCTTCCTCATGATATCCCGATATTTTCAAAAGATAGAATGTTATTGAATATATTTAACTTTTATTGTTGCAACAGTCGGTGGACCCGGAGGTTTTATGGGTGCACGAGGTCCTCCCGGACAGTGGAACGGGCCTCCAGGGGGACCCCCGGCGTGGCGACATGGCCCACCCGGAATGCGACCTGACTTTAGACCTCCACCGCTGCATATGCAGCATCAACAGGGCATGTTCAACGGTCCTCCACCACCAGGTTTGCACCAGATTATATCCATAATACTCTAATATGTTAGCTTATTATTTGAAGATCACAATGGCATAAGGTAATTAGATTATACTTAGTTGCATCTCGCACATTAATAGACGTAGATATCATGTACACGAAACAACTGCATTGTGGATTTAAAGCGTAGATTTAGTGTTCCCCAAAAAAAGCTAGTAATACAATTTTTATAAAATTTTAACATAATCACGTTAATTTTAGGAGGTCCGTTTGGACCGGGTGGACCTATGGGCGGCCCTATGGGTGGACCGGGGGGTATGGGTGGTCCTGGAGGACCAGGCAACCTTGCCAGTTTGGTCAGACAGCCGTTACAGTTGCAGGGACCGCCAGGAGTAATACCTACAACGTCTAGCATCACTTCCGTTTCTAGTCCAACAAAACGACCCGCGGAAGTTACTGCAACCTCTTCCACCGGTGAACGTACCGAGCGAAAACGAGAACGAAAATCGCGGTGGTCTGACGCGCCAGACGGTTTGTATTTCCTTTAAAGATTATGTAGCTTCATTATATAACTACATCTGAATGCTATGGGTTAATCTTAATATTAGTTCTTTTTGCATCATTTATGAAGATTACCCTACGGTAGTCTATCAAATTGGACTGACGTTTTTTTGACGAAGTGACGCTCCCGCATTGCACAGAAGTTTTCCTCTCCTTATAGTAGTTCGTCAAAAGACTTTAGTGACCGCTTATAGCGCGTATGGTTTTTCTGTGGTCGATAAGTATGTTCGTCCTAACTATTCCTTTAAAGTCTCTAGTTGAAAGTCGGTCGCGGTAGATTCGTAGAATACGACGGGTGGTAAGGCAATTCGAGCTTCATTTTATTGATCCCAACACAATAACCAGCTTTTAAGGTGACAGTCTATCGCGGTCGAGCCCTAAACTATGGCAGTACGGTGCTGTGGCACCATTTAGAACGACTCTATTATGCTCATCTTTTAGGACTCATTGCCAAATCTTAGAAGTTCATTCATCTTGCAAAAAGAACAAATTTTCTCTTTGGACTCATGTAATTATTAGGAAGGTCAGGATTTTACTAAGAAAGGGTCAAGCAAAAAATGTTCGTAGCTGTCAGTAAAATGCATTTATAGGTAACTGCGAAATTTCACTTGAAAAAGGTTTTTACTGATCTTCTTCTTTGATTATAATCCTTGTAGATGCTCCTGCTCCACCGCCACCAACGTTAGCTGCATTGCCGCCTGTGGAACAGTTTCCCGCAGGGGCAGTGTCTGCCTCCACGGGCGGTGCGCCTTCTGCGAAAGAAGAGGAAGACATAAGGACAGTCTCCCCAGAAGCTCTCAAAGCTGAAGAAACTGGCGAAGGCACTCCTGTCGCTGATGAGGCTGTTTCACCGAGGCAGATTCAAGGCAATTTACAACCTGCCGAACTGGTTCCTGTAAATGTAGGACCAAGTCGAGATCATGAGGCCGAGGAGACGAAGGGACGAAAAAGAGACGGTAATATTGATATGTTTGGTGAATCACCGACTTCCAATGTGACCGCTAAGACGTAACATAACGAAAATTGCAACCAAATCACACGTTCGTCCATCAGCACAGACGGACAACAGATTGCGTAAAGATTTATAGAAAATAATTACAATAAGACAAGAAAGGAAGTGTTAAAGAAAGGAAACTATAAATGAGAGTTGTGGGGGTGAAGCAGATGGTGCAGAAGATCGGTAAGTGAGTCTAGTAATAGGTTGCATATATATATATATATATAATATTTGATTCAACAAAATAAACGAGTGTCACACTCGATGGTAACAACGGGTAACAACAAAAACGACACCAGTGATTTTCGTAAACCAACAACAAAACTACCGTCAGCAAAACAGTAGCAGAACCCCAAATGAGTAATTTTGTTTTGTGAATGCTTGTCAGTTGAATAAGTTAAAACCCATGTCATATTTTATTCATATTATTAAGCATTACGTGGAAAAATTATTTTCAAGTCGATAGACTACAATCAGATGCGCTAAAGCTATTTACAGAATTGTTCGTTGCTATATATATATATATATATACGGGGTCGATTGGGTAGTTTATATGAATAAATATTGCTTATTAATTCATATGATTAGTGTGAACGACGGTCTCGCTTACGCTGTCAAGTCGTTTAGAAGTGATGTAATATAGCAGATATAGGCCGAGATCGGATATTCGAATCGATTATAGTTATTGCGTATTAAAAATACTATTCTCATTGAATAGTAATAATACTAATAGTAATTATTATTAACTGGCAATGAATGAGTTGAAATATAAGGGCCAAAATCGATGCTGTAAGTAATTGGCTTAAGAAGTGAATGATTTAGACAGACAGACAGACAGACAGGACTGCGCTGCCTAGAAGTAGCAAAGGCAGACAACTTTGCCAACTGACGCAAACATGGCATAAAATCTATAATTGCTATTAGTTACTCAGTAGTGATTAATTACTATTATTATTATAATAATTAAGTAACGTAATCCTTTGTCCTTCCCTGTATATATGCATCAAACGCTTACCAAAAGGAGCGCGAATATAGGCTAGATTAAATAATTAAAAGCGTTTTCCTTAAAAAATGTGAAATGAAAATAAAACACAAACGTGTATGAAGGTACTCTGGCGATATCGATCGGTCTTTTTTTGAGTGGTAGTTAACAACAAAGGCAACTCTGGCTTTTTCTTTCATTTTAATGCAGGACAGGTGATCCTAATACGCCAAGAAAAAGCTGCTTCTTTCGGCTTACTGGGTCTACTAGCTGATACTATCTTGGCTTTCTTAGTATGATGAGATGTAGGGGAGTTCCTTGACGACACAGAAGTACACCTAGAAAAATTAGCAATTGTCAAGCTTTTCATTAGAAATGGCAGTGTACGACTACGACAGATCATAATTTTTCTTAAAGAGCCTAAAATTAAAACCAATACCATAAGTGCTTACCCCCCGTGCTACCGTTTCCAAATCAGAAGCATATGTTTCAGAAATGGAGATGTTAAAAAAGACGCAGCCTCAATTGCATTTAAACCCGTAGAGCACCAGAATCCAGAACCCAAACTTAACTCGATGAAATTTGTGATAGAGTATAAAAAGCAAAAGACGTTCACAGAACATAAAATTTTTTTATTAGAAAAGTTGCCGTAAGATGTATAGAGGAACGTGGTGCCAGCAAAGGGCACCCTTCCTCTACAAGGCAACCTCGAAGATGTGGGGTGGCCTGCCGAGTACGAAATATATTAGAACGTTTTTAATTCATAATTATATTCCGTAACTAACACACAAATAAATATAGTAGCAAAGTAATGGAGCGATCTATTTTAAGCTTGAACTAACATCAAGAGGTCTAACTTCAAGCTCTGAAGAAATCTCTAAGCTCTATTGAAAATTGAGCCCCGCAATCCCTCTCAGAATCGTGAGTACAGCATCATTTCACCTTGCTGCTACTATTAAGTTAAATTGATACAGCTCTGAACAAATATTATTGAAATAAAATAGCCTTCAGGGATAATTCAGTCAACTTGTCAGTAAATCTGAATTTCCTGACAGCCTTAATCGATTCTTGCTTGTGAACGGAAATAATATGTTTTATTGGAAAACTTTTATTCGCTGAATCAGAATCCATGTCCGATCTCATACCATTCATCTTGTGTGCATATGATCACATAAAAAACAACACTAAGATGCACATACTACTATGTTTGCAGAAAAAACCTTAACATTTTTGTTTTCAGAGAAATTACAATATTTATGCCTAAATTCCTATTTAAACGAGGTCATCTTATATTATCCAGATTAATCAAATCCTTTGTTAATATAAAGCTTCTCTCTGCTAGTTTGATGCACATTACTTTCATCATTAACATTATCTTTCGTATAAGGTTGTACCATATTTACAATCCGCACAGACCGAGTTGAGTTAATAGAACTGTCATGAAGCTGGTATGCTGGGCCGAAAAATTATGAACTATATTGGGCCGTTACTTTAAATTGCGGCGGCGACAGATAACCTGCGTACAAGTTAATATGAATAACAAAAGTTAGTAGTAAAGTGGGTATATATATATATATATATATATATATATATCATATTGGCCGTTACGTTTAAATTGTAGAATTCTAGTTTATGCACCTTAAAGCTGGCATAACGTTGAATAAACGAATAAAATCAAAGGTTCTTTTTATTATTTAGTGAGAGACTTTTTCTTTATTATCTACGCCTAGTGATCTAGAAGTTCGTTTTGAATATATTTGCTATATGCTTCTGTTACTATACATAAACCCTCCTATTGCTTTATTAAACAAAACAACGTTTCCATATTTTAGGTAGTCAATAGCGCTTTTTAATGGAAGAATTATATGCGCTTAAGCCTAGAAAATACGGAAGCCGGCATGAGATTAGAGATTTTGCGCTGCCATTCAGTTATCGCACTGGGTCTTGCCGGATGCATGGTAGGCAGTCCATTAGAACAACATCTGCATAAAATGCAAGTATCGAAAACATTCGATTTTATTTTAAATTAATGTTTCATCTTAAAAAATTGTCTTGCACTAAAAAGCTCGTTCCTCTATGCCATAATTTGGCTACGTTATTTTCAGGTAAATCACCTTTATCAATTTGTCTTTTCTATTAATAACAGACAGAGTCGTTTTGTTGACTCTAATTTACAAATTGGACGCTCAATAAACAATAGGCCTGCCCATTTTATGCTTAATAATTATTTGAAAGATATGATTTTGATCCAGTACTTGCCAGTTAATTTTTGTTTGTAGTCATTACTTTTCTATAAAATCCGCTTGAATTTGTCGCGCTAAATCGATATTAGTGCACTTCTCCTAACTTCTGAAATGTCTATCAAGGACATCAAGACATATTTTCTCATGCTGCATTATATAAATACTAATCCGCTTTATATTTTTACCTTGCTTTCTTTTTAAAGCTGAGACTATGCTTAGTTCTGGGGCTAATTTTGCCTTTCTGCGCTCTGCCTAGAAACATCTTTTTTTTTATAAAACAATCCATAACAATTTACTATAAAATATTATAAGTATAGACTTTAGAGTGTGGTATTACTATTCATTGTTTGTATTCACACTTCATTATTTAAGTAAACCTAATATAAACGCTTTGGAAGGCCATTAAATAATGCTTTTATGTGGTCTCGTTTCCCACCTCCTGCGTGTACCTGAAGGACGTGCAATATGAGTATATATGTTTTGAATATTCGACACCCACACCATTGGTGTGGGCATGTATATGACCAGAAAGACACAACATTCTAAGTAGAAAGCATTTTGAGTTATGTTTATCGCTAAACACTGCGCAGAATTTTAATGAAAGCGGTACTCCTTCTTGACTAACGTTAGCTAGAACACTATGGCATTATGTTTATCGCGACAATTTTCAACCATGCTCGAAAGTTCGAAGTGGCTGCATGACCGTTGTATTAGTACACACAGGGATTGCAACAAATTTGTCAAAAGCTCACAGAATTCAGGAGATTATCTTTAGTAAACTACGGAGAAGTGCACTACTGAGATGTGAAACATGTGCAGTACTTCAGCTTAGCAACACTGCAGTTGTGTCGCAGCAGGTCCTCAAAAGATATTCTGTAAAATCAATAAAACATTGCCTACCCTGTAGATTCCGAGTACTTCCGCGCCTACTCTCGCGACCCGATATATTGCATTTTCTAGATCTAGGCGATTTACATCTGTTAGCTTATACAAGAAAAAACTTTAAAAATACAGAACCTTACCTGCCGTTCCATAACTGCAAGCATGACGCAGCTTGCCCAAGGGTGATGAGCTTACTGCATAAAAAAGCGCCATTAGAGGAAGGTTATCAAGAAGAACCTTCAAGCATCTATGCAATAGAACAAGATGGGGGACTGGAAAGTTGCCTAAGCTATTGGGTAGTGTAGTTCAACAAAGGGCGACGTGTTTATAATATGGGGTAGAGCATGAGAAGCGATATCATTGATGTAGAACGTAGTTTTGTATTCACAGGATTTGAGGGAACGTTTGCTAAAGGGGTGACGCCTTTTGTTATTAAATTGTGTAGATACAAAATATGAAGGGCTAGTACGTGTATGAAACTTTTTGTAAGCGTGACAAAGACCTGCTCGCGAGAGTAAATGTCGCTCCAGGCGCCGAAATCCTGTATTTTTGACAGCAAGTACTCTACTCGATTTTTCATCGCTGTATTGACCATACACTATCGTTTCACATCGCCGAAATTGGTCCTGAAGGGATCCTTGCGTCCGAAAGCATCAGTGATGTTCCCTCTGAAACTGGCTATGCGCGTCAATTGCCGAAAGAGAAGGTATATGCAAGTTGCTCCAAGGTCACGATTGCAAACAAAGACGCTATGTGCTAATGAATGAAACAATACATATATACGTCGTCTGTCGCGATGCGAGCACCCGGATATGTTGACTGCTAAAAAGGCCGTCTATGGGGGAACATACAGTAGCAAAGAACAACGTGTCGAATACAGCAGTACCGAGTTATATACGAAAAAGCCAAAAAAGTGATAAGTGGTAAAGTGATGCCGTTTAAGCCATAAGGCGCCTTAAAGGCGGGGGCAAACTATAACTAAGATAATAGCTAACAGGATAATTGAAAACAGTTCTCTTCGGTGTAACCTAATTTCACAATACATTTTTTTTCTATAGCAGATTATAGATACACAGAAAAAGCATTGTTCACGTGTGATTTTTCTTTATGTGTCAGTAGCAGTAACTCTTTTAAACAGCTACTCCAGACGTTTATCAAACAGCAATATCTAAAGTTGTCTAATTACTATTAAGCAACTGTCTACTATACAATTAGGGTTAATTTCATTTGAAATCCACTATGGCAACTTTAATAGAATTCATACGACAAGATTGCGTGCATTCTTCCTAACTATCTAACACATTATACGTGTGGATTGTTCAGTTCTGTTACTTATCACTTTCATATTTTATTAAAGACACTTGATACTTTTTTCGTATGTATTGTATTATGTATCATCTATTTTTATTTTATGCTCCAATCCTGACAGCCGGCGGACGATTGTCGATGACCGGAATTGTGCTGCCTTTACGCAGCAACAGCAGGGACATTTCATTCTCGATGTACATTTTCATTTACTTTTCATCCTCCTTTACCTGCTTTTTCCGGCTTAGATGTATCTTAACATAATAACATCTTCCTTCTCTATCTACTCTAATTGAGATTCGATAATCCGTTCGTGCATCGCCAGTTCAACTGTGAAGTCGTTTAATATGCTCACTGGCTGCTCACATTGAATTGTAATGTATTATGGAGAAGACAACGTCATCTAAATGTCACTTCCTCCCATACAGACACACACAAATCTTTTCTTTGCTCACGGCTACATGTTAACAATTTGTGGACAACTGACAAAAAAATAGTTGTCCAACAGCGTTCTTGTTATTACCGCTTTTTTTTTTACTTCGTCTTCATAGCGATAGTTACCGCATGCGATACTAATACTAATAATTAAAGTCGTAATAAAAACAATACATAGTATGAAAGGCTCATATATGAACGAACGCTGCGTTGAAGGTACTCTTCAGATCAGGTAAAGGCTTGCCTTTACCCCTTTACCTTTTTGTGTGGCCTATTTTTCGCCTCGCTTTATCGGTGTTTAAAAGGTAAACGACAAGTGTATTCAATGATTTCATGTGTGCTTAATATTACAAACTACTGCATTGAATTAATTACTGGCATCACTATAAGCAGTTTAATATTATTTTCTTCTCGAATAAGATCAATCATACGTACAGAACAATGCAATCATAGGAATCATGCATAGTTCATCGATTTTATCGGTCCCGGTCCTATCATCATTGTTATCGCCGTCGTGAATAGTGAGCTGTCAACGTTAACAGTGGCGGAGGCAGTCATGAGTACCCAATACAATAACAACAACAACATATAATCAGTAATTAGCTTTATATGATGCACTGTTGTCTATCGCGGAACGCCGCTTGAGTGTAACGCACGATCCTCGATAAGCAACGGTTTGCTGTCTATCTTATATATCTACCTCTTACCACACTCCGCTGGTTTTTCATATTTCAGTTCTCATCTTTTTGCAACTTGTTACCGTATTTCAAAATTAAAAAAATTACGATCATAGATTGCCGTATTCAATTTGTTTTTGCCTCTAGTATTTGTGACTCAGATCTTGTGTCTTACGTATTGTCTGCTAAATACATCGGGCTGTTACACAAAATGTTTTTCTCCGAGGACTCATCAATGACATTAATTTAATCTTTCTTATCAACAAAAATACATTGTCTTTTTATTTAAGCTAATATTCCAGAGTATTTTTGATGGAGAGCGGATCGCTCATTAGAACTTCAAAAACGTACTTTATAACCTAAAATAATGTAAATAATTCACATGCGCTAAGAGGGAAGTTTTCCTCATCAATCCGTCACCCTACACAAAATTTGTACATAACCAAATACAATTGTTGTCAAGGATTGGAAGGAAACACGAATGGCAACAAACAAGATATGTACTGTAATAGGAGTAATGGCTATAGAGAGGTGTAGAATACTTATTCATATCTTGCTTGCCATTAGTCAATGTCACCTCCTCTATAAAATAATCTTTGTATTGGATATAGTGCAGAACTACGGCAATAATTTTGACTCTGGTGAAATGATTACCATTTGCCTTTTGTATTCCAGGAACGATTAAGATGCTCCAAGCTGTTGGTCAAGGAGACAACGAATCTGATTGAAACCAACTGCAATATGATTTTGATTCTATTATAAATCAGAATTAAGCCCTATTGCATTTAGTTTTATAGTTTTCATCGACTAAAACACTTAATTCCTTAATAAAAAATGAATTGTATAACGTGAACATCGCATAGGGTACACTTTGGACAGCCGGTAAAATTACGTCTTTTTAATATCTGTACTTTTATATGTGTGTGTTCGTATGTGTTTTATTTTTTTTGGCTTATAGAATCTTATGGATTGGACTTGCCGGGAAATTATGTACCAGGGAAAAATCGTACTTGAATTCAATAACTTAACAATAATGCGAAAGATAACGAGCACGGTGAGAGCATGCGCCGTTATAGAAAACTGATATTGTTTATATTTTGCACACATTATTGGTGCCAGACCTGTTGGTGCTGTTGTTGTTGTTGTTGTTTTTGCTGCCGCTGTTGCTTTTTCAGCAGCCGCGGCAACAAGAGCACACGCTCCACGTTGCATCGACAACTCTCTGGTGTGGTTTTCTATTCATGTGAGTGTTTATTGTAGTTTTTCTACTAATGATGAATAGTAATATTTATATACTTATATACATGTTTGAAATTTATTGGAGCACTTTTAAATCAGATCTGTAACATTTCTTCAAATCAGCAATGATGGTATATAATTCATTATCGTCGTCGTCAAGACATATGCATCTCATTTTTTTCCTCTTATTAATAATATTAGCAGCAGTTAAACATAAATAGCGGCTACTACATGTATGATTTAATAATAATGATTATCATTATTATAAAAAAATAACGGGCCATTCTCTCTACTTCTAATGCTCCGCTAATTCTGACTGGCGTTAATAATATACACGCGTAAGGATGAATATTCTACGATGACAGTGAACCCACGGCAAAAAAGCAGTTTCGTCAGTTTATCACCAAATACTTTCGACGAATAAGGCACAGATCTCACAAGCGTCCTTATTTGAACAAACCACAGCTAATGTTCACAGCTTTTGCACAAATCTAAACATATAATTTAATAGTTAATAAAATATAACCAAGTAATTTCAAGAACTTCCAAGATAAAAAAACTAGTTATTCAGAAATTATATCGCACATGTAACAGCTTAAAAACGCAAGGGCTTTCACTTGGTTCTAGTAATAATCATTTAGGTCCTTTTGGTATAACAGACGGGGAAAAACGAAATTGACGCACTGACATGTCCACAGAATTCGGCCTTGATAATACTATTGCTACGACTGAAATTATATTCAGCAGCTACGACAAACAAGGAAAGGTATGGTGCAATAAATTTTAGACAATTTAACTCTCTCTAAGTTTTTTAAAATGGGTGACTTATATGGAGAATGCATTTTAGTCTGCAGCATGCATATCATCATACATTTGCTTGTTTAGTTATTATTGTTTAATTTGAGACAAAATAAAAAATAATTATGTAAAACCTATGCTATAAAACACAAATCTAATTAAAGTAAGGCTTAGGCGGCAATTCAAGATACTGAACATGCAAAATTCAGCACAAAAATGTGTGTAGACACTGCAAAAGAAGCGAAAGAAAAATTCTGAGGTGGCGAGACCTGTCTACCCTGATTCTGTATGTACAATATACATATAATGTTAAGGGTAAACGTATATACCTAGCGAACAAATGGATGATACATTATAGAGTATACTACATACATATGAACTATATTTCGCGGGCTCTGTACTAGTTGCCTCTATTTATCTATTATTAGACTATTACTGGTTGTTGTTGTTATCGCTAGTGAACAAAAAAGAGATCTACGCAGTCACGTCTTTATAAAAAGTCATTGCAATAATATGAATACAACTAACAAATCAAATCATCTTTAACCCTTACGATTCTACGCTTGACAATATTAGTAATTTTGCAGATTCGTAGACGATGCCTGTTGATTGTGAAACGCCCTTCCGTTGCTTAACGCGCCATCTAATCGCTACACCTTGCTCACGTTCGGACTGCTTCATTCGATCTGTTATAGTATAATAGGTACATTATTTCGCCTTGGTTCACAAGATTCCCATGTTCACATTCGAACTTTTTTGTAGGTTTAGTATATTATCCTTCTCGACATATTCGAGTCTTTCGGCTCGACAGCTTTGCCAGCTGAGAACCACTAGGAACTTAACGTCAATCTGCCTGTGTGTTAATCATGATCAATACTTATCAACAGTTTACGCGACACCAACCAATAAACATTACCAATGGATAAAACAATTACACTAACATCCCTTGACAATCAATAGCCCACCAACGGTACCAACTTTATTCAGATAATATTGAAACGACTTGCTCGGTCGGCTAAATACTTAATTGATTTGTATTGGCCTAAGAATGGACTGGTCGGTAAAGCAATAACTTCACAGGTACCAAAATCACGAATTTCACAAGCAATGAATTAAAAGTCAATTGAGAGAGCAAGAGATAACGACGACGGCGGCGATAATGGTGATGGTGATGATAATGGTAGTCCGATCCGAGAAAGTAAAAATAGTTGGAATGAGCGTCAGAGTATTATAATGCGATAGGATTACAATCACGAAGGCTGTCAATGTAGCTCAGGGTTTTTCCGGAGCTCAACAGAATTTGATTCTTTGATGTTAGCAAATCGGGCAGAGATACAATGTCAGTAGTCACTATTATAGCTTGTCCACTATCAAATTATTCTTTGTTCAATTCATTGCAGTATTATGTAAATTTCATTTATTATCTACTGGATCTGATTGACGAACTTTGTTTTTTTGATCACCTTTGATCTTTTGATGATTTGGAGAACTCTACAGAACATTTGAGAACAGTATCTTTTTATCCTATGGGAGAGCATTTGGTTGGCAGTTAATATCGACAATTTGTATATTCCGCCCTGTGTTTCCAATTTAGGTACAGTTTGTACTATGGTGCTTACTCAATTATGTTCCTTGCAAAAGAAGTAACACCACCAGCAGCACCATCAACATTATCAACGTCACGTAAATATATTCGATTGAAATTCGCTTACGAGAATCAGAATAGCAAATGCAATTAAATATTCGTTCTCATAAAATATTTCCGTCAATTGAAAAATTATATATATATATATATATATATATTCGACCATTCTTATACCTCAGACATATTCGTTTAAATCATAAAGCAGGTTGTAACTGGTTGAAATGAGAAATATGTATTTCGAACGAGCGGCCGTTACACACCACAATTTTGTAGTAAAACTAAATCGACAAAATTTATACTGAAGATAAACGATGAAATTCAAAATTTCAAGAGATTGTCGTCCACATATCTTGTAAACCAAGGAATATTAGTTATTGAGTTATTTAGAACAGTAAAAAGCTTGGCCAATTATCGAAGAAGTGGGCCTCCTGGAGCCTTAACAGTGTAAGACCAAAGATCTGTGGCTATAGTAATTATCACAAATCGCAAAGTAAGCGCTCTATAGACTCTTCAGTTGTTAGCAAAAAGAGATTCATGCGCCTCATAAGCACGACGCGAAACGTTTTCACTGCAATAGTTTACCATTTGGCTCGTAGCAGATTTTTGGGTAAATATGAAAAAGTGAAAGACTCGAATTTACAGCTTTACGCAACCATATACCTCAGAATGGCATAGGCCATAATAGCGTGTTCCAACACATTTGAGGTTTGGTTTTGTGTAGAATTGCTCTACCTTAATTTCTCGGTTTTGCAAAATTCTATTTAAGTCTAGTTGCCATGGTAACTTGTGTTCCGGTACAAAAATTTCACGCGTTGTTTGTAAAAAGTATGCGTCACGCTTTGCTGACCCACAGACATTTTCAGAGAACTTACCTTACTTCGATTTTTAATAACTTCTCGAGGCCTCTAATTTACTAAAATGGCTAATAACATTGTGTCAAAACGCTCGCTCTACATGCCACTGCGCATGCACCGTAGCTAGTCAGGCCATTGTATTATGCTAAGCATATGTTAGAATTGACATTTTAGGCTTTTATATGAATTAGTTAGCTTCTGCTTTATTATTCAAACAAACATGTCTGAAATGAAAGAATAATCAAACACATTTGGAAGTATATATATATATATATATATATATATATATATCCTTAATAAACTCAACCCGGACGGACGGACGGCGCGGATTGAATAATGAGCTGAATCGATAAATAGGTTTATGAACTGAATGAATTAGTATGATGATTTAATAATCATAGCCTAATAACAGTGCCAGATATATTCCAACATGCATCAGACAGATCGCGCATTTACCATGTCACAGGCACACACGCACATCATTACTTCGTTGCGCAACAATGCTTCTTGCTTTACTTTATTTGCTCGTTTTAAGTCATTTTTTTTCTTCTTTTTAATAAGGATATTTTTTAATCGTCGACTGATTGCGTCGTTGTTAAGCTCCCATTTGGCGGAACTGCAATCACCAATCTGTAAAAATAAATAAAAAACACAGAGGTGTGAACATCAATAGGAAGCGTTAATAAGAAAGTTAATGAGAAATCTTAACGCTTAGCAGGGTATATTTCACGAGACAACCTGGATAAATTTCGTGAAAGAGTTAATAATTATATGTTATATTCACTCTATTGGTTCAAAGTTCGAATTGTGAATGTAACAGAAGAATGGGGATTTCAAAAGGCCAAAGGTTATAGAGATATCCAAGATGTACCACATAGGACGTGAGCTGAGCGCTAATCCTCCAACAACAAGGGGCTTTTACAGCTTTTCCTATATTGTACCATTTGTAGAGCTTGATGATGTTTATGTATGACATGATGCGTTTGTGACAGGGGTCGAATACTGAGAAAACGATCACTGCCATTACGCAGCAATTTTATAGCACTGAAAATTGTTCATCATCCATTACGTCCCCTAGATATTATATAATACGTTTAATAGGCACAACGAACAAAAGTGAACACATTTGATGCTGACACAAATTAAAAAATGATTGAAAATAGTCCCATTGCAAGGCAGAATAAAATCATACACTTGGCAAAACGATATCTAATAATGGCTGCTTGCGCAGATTCCTGAGCTAGTAGAAGTTATCTGTCAATGAGGCATTATTTCTTATCAATCACTATGGCCTTCTGACCATGACCATGATGGTACGGCCTTAAATTCGTCGTGTAAAAATAAGAAATTACATGATACCAGCATAAACGTAAAGCATTCGATTAAAAAGAGACGACGGTGGCACAAGAGGATTGGTCATTTCCGAATGACCTAGAAATTATTAGCAGTTCGGTAACTAACCAACGGACAGACAGACACAACGGCAGACTGTATACGACGCTGAAACATTTTACAATACGTCTACATAAATTGGTACGGTCACACACACGTGAACACACGCTTTAATATCTGTTATCAAATTGTTTGTATAGCACGCAAAAACAAGATGCCTACAGTTATTTCGGGTGGAAGTTCATCTTTGGTTTTTCCTCTATTTATAGGTAAGAGTAATCGGTTTTCCTGTGTTAACTTTGGAGGAAAGGCAACCAGCTCAGTCGCTGAAATCAATCGAATTCGAAAAATTTTTCTATTGCTTTCGATTAGTCAGAACAGCGACAGCGATAACGCAAACTCGGCAAAGAAGCTCTACTCTGAGAAATCTTCGCAGAGGTTTGCTAATAATAATGACATTTTGTATAAATCCTTTCTAATCAAAAAGCACTTAACGTACTTTTTAAGAGTACGAACGATACTATAAGATACATCAAAAAATATTTATAAAGGTTGCCAGATGATAATCGAATTCAATGTGATGTGAATATTATATCTGTATTTTGGTATATAGGCGAGAAACCTGCTGGCTATAGAATAAAAACAACGTGGAAAGTTCTAGGATCAAACAATTAAAGATCGTTTCCAATAGACCTGAATAATATTATCTGTGTGTGTATACCGGCAATGCGCTGCTGTTTGTTACACGGCAGCGAAAATATTGATAACGATGGTTTACGAATAAACTCGTTGAAAAAGGCTCTGGCAAAAACTGCAAATGAATACCACTTTTCATACTGATATAATCTGATTACTATAATACCACTATTCAACTATAATATAATTAAGTGATTCATAAAGCATGTGCCTTGTTGTGAGAACATGAAAGGCATTTGTCAGTGTCGTTCTAACCAATCTCGAAGTTTCTCCACTAATCATCATCAGCAATATTCGTAGACATAGGAACGTCGCACGTTTAGTTCCAGCTGACTCTGACACTCGCTGATCAAGTTCAATCCAAGCAAGATAAATAGAAAGGGGCGCATAATCATGCAGAGCATCTAAATATAATAATTTACACTGAACGTAGGTCTAAACAAGAGGTGATTAGTCTGTTCTGTTCCAGTTCACTTCTAAATGATAAAACGCAGATGGAAAAGCAAAAAAAGAATATAATGTTCAAGAACTCTATGCTCGCACTGGGTTCTGCTAAGTTCTATGCAATAAATTGAACCAGGAACATATTGTTTAATTTATCACTTATCCAGCTGGTCAAACAAGAAGATGAACGTCCGTGAAGATTCGAAGTCTAATGTTCTAGTCCATGGAATTGTATCGTGATATTTGCCAATAATTAAGTTAATAATAATATATAAGCTGATGGAAATTGATTAGCTTACGGTGCTCGTCTACGTGATAGAGACTACATTGCTTGTTGGTTATCGAAGAATATCATATTGTTACACCAAAAACCAAGGACCATCGTTGTTGTCGTCGTCGTCATTTTCAACATAAAACGTGACTGTGCCTGTTTCATGGACGTGCACATAGAATGCAAACTTTGGCGCGAACTGATGGATCTTTTTCGTGCAGAATGTTAAAATGAATGACAGAATAACAATCATTCGTAAACAGATTTCATTGACTTGATTAATGTTGTCGATCTAACAACAACGCCGATCGTTCTTGGCACATAAATCGTAACGTGACCATGGCATATTTAGGGGTGTGGTATCCACGTTCTGTCGCGTTCCGTTCATGATAATTTGGAATTTTTTATTGTTATTATTATTCATAAATTAGTTATTATTATCGTTCACAGAGTGCAGTTTGTTTGAAGGCGCGAGATGCGTCTCTAACATGAAAAAGGCTCTCTAGTTATTTACTGTGTCTGATTATATTGGTCCTGTATGAGCTTGTTGGTTTGTCTGAGGGAGCCCGAACATTAGCACTCTAAACCTACTTTCTTTGTTTTAGCAACACTGTGCAACGAGACTCTGTATTGTTGGAAGATACGACCAAACTAGGCTTTTGGAAAATCAATAGGTTTATTAATGATCCGAGGAAAAGAAGAAATAAGAAGAAGAAAGGCCCCTTGAAACTGATTTGTGTTCACTATTAAGTATTCGTCATTGATTGCGGCGTGCATTTCCTTTGATTACAGAATTTTTATCCGTTATCATTATCTTTATGCATGGCAGACAGAATGTTGTTGCGTTTTATGAAATAGCATGCTATGGAATAAAATCGTATTACTTTTATGGGAGCAATAGGCACACATGGGTTTACGCTTTTAACCCCTGGCGTTACGCCACCTAATGATAGGACTTCACTTAGCACATATATGCTACAGGAACGAGTACATACGCAAAAAATAGCTGACTGACAAGTTTTCACAACAAACGGGAGTTGATAAAATACTATTATCACCATGCATGCTTCGCACAATTTCCTATGCAGTTATAAAGACCGCAAATATCATCAATAGGGCTGACGCTTGTCAGTTAGCCAAGAAAGATCCTTGCTATTTGTAAATCTAAAGAATAAGCCCATTCAGCTTTTCGACATGAACAATCGCTACCTAACGTGAAATTTCATAAACAATTAGGAGGGCCAAGCACATATAATGGAAATATATTGGGCCAGTATCACAACAGCTTTGTTTGTTTGAAGAAGAGCTGGTCAGAACGATCGTTAGTTGTTGCTTGAGCCACATAGATTAGTCCGTCCAGAAACTGTAATTCATAAAACACCACTTTATTTTCTAAATATTTGGCGTTTAATACAAAGAAACAAAACATTATAACGCTGAAAATATCACGGTTAATGCATTTGTTGGTAGCTGTGTTGGAAATGTCTTCGCACACATTTCTATGGGTATGTTCTATGAACACATATAAAAAATCGAATTGGATTAAACGGGCACAACCCAAGTAGCTGACAAATAATGCTCACTGTAAATTCAAACGTGAAAAGTCAGTTGGTCAATTAGGTCAAGACTAGGTCGTTAAATGGGAAGAGCGTTTCTGTAGTCGTCCTGATCACAAGGTTACATAAGAGAATACAATATAATGGGGGGAATCTGATCGTCGCGATTCGTTTTCGAAATTCGACTCCGGCTGCTAATTGAATGCTTTCAAAAGAAAGGCACAGTAATTGTCAACGCCACCAGAAGATAGAGGAAAATGTGGTAATAGCGACAACGATAATTTAGAGTAAAACGTATTTATTTCTTCTTCGTACCACAACAAACATTATTATATTTGTAAAATAATGTGAAGTACCACGCTACAATCAAATAAATATTAGCATCACCGGGTGCAGTAAGAGCGGTTGACGGTGCTGCTTTTCACATTTCTTTAACACGTTTTAAAAGACTATCAAAAATTATACTACCTGAATAAACGAATTTTAAGCATATCGAGGCTATTTTGAGTCGTGCGTATTTACATCGAGTGCCTAACCCATACTCAAAAAGTTCTATGATAAAATAAAAGCGTTTTTTTTTTTTAATTCGTATTAGAAATCGTTTACAGTGAACTTTTACAACACAGTATAGACATTTTGACACATAGTGGCAAGGGGTACAATTTTTTTTTTTTTTTTTATCATTAAACAATAACTTTACGATGCGCAATCATGTTGGAAATGAAAATCTGCATTTATGTCAAGTGACTGGACGTTGTCGCTAGTTGGTGAGAATTGTTATGACCTGGCCTTGTTCAACACTCGCTCAGCCTTGTTACTCGAATGTAGGTAATTACATTGAAAGAGGCGAACATGAGGGAAAATGCTGATAGGTGACGACAAACAGTAAGGTACAATAGATATGTAGTTAATGGATTGCAATTATTAATTAAATAAACGGCACTAGAAGCGTAGAAGCTAGCAAATATAATCGGAAGTGCTTAAAAACCTATTCGATAATAATAATAATGATGTGGCGATATCGAAGTCGTTGTGTTACTAGCATTATAAATCTTATAGTAATATTTCCAATACTAGACTTCGTTCAAGTATATTCTGAAAATATACGCCATATTATTTTCAGAACTACATTACCGAATATCAATGAGTTTGTCTTGATTACTTGCACCATAGGCCGTGTTCCCAGAATTTTGATTTGTTGCAGCCCTTATCCCATTTTTTCATCCTAGGCGATTGTATCAATAAATTGTGCTTATTATACCGGTAATTTTTATTAAAGAGCTCGTCTATTTATTATGATTCATTTACACACTTGAGTGTATTTATTTTGATATATGTTTGTTAACCACAGAAGAGTTATCGACACTTGAGATGAACATTCAAGTCCATCCCATGAATTTGCTTGTAGTGTTGCTAATTTTGCAATAACGATCATATAATGAAGAAACAAGTCGTGAAGGGACATAGAAACGCTTCCAATTAACGAGCCAAATGTGTATTACAGTTATCCGGATGACAATTCTTCATTTAGCCATCGTTGGGTCCAAATGATGTCGCGGTAGATGTCATAATTAGGTAAATAAACAGCATATTCAAATAACTGAGGTCACTAAATGACAATTCTACTCCTAATTGTTAGTAACATAGGGTCCCTCAGATGCACTAATTAAAGTACTGCTTCGACTCACTACAAAAAAAAAGCTTGACTCAGCCCCTACATAGGTAAAGTAAAAGCTGAGCGGGTATATGTGAAGCAACGTTTATTAAAAGCTAAACTTTTAAAAATTATAATAAGACTCATGTCGGTTGCTAGGAAAATAATCGAACGCATGAACCCTCAACAAAAGTTATGCTTACTTAGGCCAGTTATGTCTTGAACATTTCGAGCTTTCCAGTATCTTTCTGATTTAAATTATGATCAGATATTATTTCGGTAGTTCGATAGATTTTCTAGGAGGCAATGCAATGCATTAATGCATACAATACAATATACAATGCACTGATGACCCTATTGAATCTTGGCTTGCATAAAATCACCAAAGCGTAATTCTAGCAGTCTTAGATCGGGCGTTAAATTTATGCTTTAACTTACCGATCGGATGGTGATTGACTTCTGCTCCGACTGGTAATGGTGTCTTGTTCATCTGATGGATCCTGAGGGGATTCTACCCGACTTCGCGACCTTTGTTTGTTCTGTTTAAGGTTTTTACTAGTTGCCGAGATCACAGAACTCAGACTACTCAAGCTACTATTTTGTTGCTGGTTTCCCGGACCAGCCGACAGTATACCTCCCCTGCTAGCTAACTGCTGACCCGCGTGCGCTACTTGAACGAAAAGCTGTCTTGCCGCGGCCACCTGGAAAGATGGACGTTATTTTAAATCTACCGCCATACATAATAACAACCTGACTTTCATTGTTTGTCCCGCCGAGCGACGATTAGGCACTTCACTTTATTGTGTGATACAAAGAAACGCAATTTTATTATTAATATTATATGATTTAGTGACTAGGCATTAAAATGACGCATTACATTTCACAGTTTTATTCTGACGTACGGTGTTATGCTTGTAAATACTTTATATGATTCCTGCATAGTTTATTTCACATGAATTTGTTCTCTGTTATATATATATATTCTTATAATTGGTCTACGGCAAGCAATATATAAGTAACAGCAAGTACTGCATTTTTATTATGAGTGAATTGACTGGCTGAGCGAGTAAGCCCACCTGACTGGGCGTGCTTGATGACGACGTTGTCTGGGGTGCAGCTATTGACGTCGTCCGACCTGAGTGCAGAGCGGTCAATTGTTGTAACGTCAGATTTTGACCAAGGACCACCATTGCAGCTGCTGCTTGTGCAGGAGGCCAGACTCCGCTCTGAGAAGATCCTATTAACGTTGACGATAGACCAGTGGATGAAAGTCCAGCCGGTAGAATAGGAGGTACCCGTAAATCAGTAGAAGAGCTGTTACCCCCAATACCACTAGCACTTGACGCTAATGTTGTTCCGGACGTCGTGGAGACCGAAGATCCGACGGCTGAAAGCGACGCTTGCAATGGCGGTACCACTTGCGACTGCTCTTTTGGACTTCCACACCCGTTGCCACCACTGGCGCCGCCACTCTGAGAACTGCTATTTCCGCCGGAACCTGTTCCCTTCGTTTTAAGTTGACCCCCTCCACTTTTACGTCTACGCGTTTGAATATCCTTTTTCTTAAGCGCTAAAGGTCGATTCGTCTGTTCAATGCATGGATCAAAACAAAGTAAGTTAGAGAAAATGAAACCTGCTGATAAATTTTTTAGGTGTTAGTAAATATTGCAGATCTCAAATTTGATTCGCTTCATTCGACTTCAACGCAACTGGTCAGACGTAGTCCTTGTGTAAAATTTGGTTATAAAATTATTTCTATCCTAAATATTCCACCACCTTCATTGTGTAAATTTACTGGCCGCTCACAGTAGTTGCTATCTAGACAAAAAAGGTGTCACGCAGGCTAAAGGCTGATGGTTGATAAGGGAGCTGTCTACTCGTTTCACTCAACATATAGTTGAGCAACTAATACACTGTTCCTCTTAAAAGCAGTTCGTAATTAGCTTTGCAAATGAAATTCATCTTCAACCCGATTTTCCGGTCGGTCTAACGTTTGCATTACATAATAATAATATGTCAATGTCAAGGGACCATAGTGCTTCATCACAAAAAAAATAGTAGCTGAGAACTTTTTTATTCGATAAATGAGAACAAAAATAAAAAAGATCCATCTATTGTGGTACAAGAGGCTTCCACTTGAGGAGTAAGGTTAAAGAAAAATGCATTATATGTTTACAATAAATAGACATTTAAAGGAAAAATGGGAGTTTTAAATAACTATTGATAAACAAAGTAAGTAAGACAAAGTCTCTGGTACTTCATTTCCTCGGTGGGACTCGACTTTCCATTAAATACTGATAGGGAGGAATAATTACACAATCTTATTATCATTATTATTACTCTTATTATGACTATATGGTTATTGCTAATTCGTTCTCTCTATGAATATTTGTTGTCTAGAGATTAAAATTGTTAACACAAACATGCTGATTCACATAGGCGTAATTAACGGGAACGTCTGCCTGCCATTTAATGGAACTTAAGGGTTTGTTATGTTTCCGTGATGTGACAGTTTATTCAATGTAACGCACTGTTGGTAGACTAATGCAAAAATCTCTATTAAGTTCATCTGTTTAATGACAAAATCAGAAGTAGTTTAGATTGGAAACAAAATCTGAATAGGACTTATAAATGGAAGAAAATGATGTTCTATATGGTCACGCGAATCAAAATAGGTCGATCCACAAAGATTCTAACATCTAGCTGATACAAGGTACCTCATCACTATATTTCCAAAACGTGCCATTTAATTTACAATGCGCTGTTCGGGATACTTACATTGTGCAACTTGTAGTATAGCCCACAGGCGTTACAAACGGGAAAGCCCTCATTGTTTCGACGCCATAAGGTCGTCGTTGTTGTGTTGCAGTTATGGCAAACCATGCCTTTCTTGATACCGACAACACCTGCTGCGCCCCCTCCAAGACCTAAATCACCTGGCTGTGCGCACATCTTGCACACGGCGTGACCAGCTTCATCGACCGCCCAATGGGGAGACTCAACCGCCCCACACACTACGCATTCGACGTCAATATTTGACATCACTCCTCCGCCATCAGAGTCAAGGACTTCAGATTTGATCTTGATTAAGCTCAACCCTGGATGAGTATCATCGATAGCAGTAATAAACATAAAATTAAGGTCAATAAGATTTCATCAAATCAAGTAGGCTCCTTGACAGACACGGCGAGAAGGGGAAGCACCCTGTTTTTAAATGGCCACTTAATCATTAAATTATTCACAAAGGCACCTCTTTTACGGAAAACAAGCAGACTATGCAGTCATACACCCTAAACGTGCGGTTAAAATTGAGATCTGGAAGGCTATTTCCCAGTTATGAATGGCATTCGTGAGGTAAAAGCAAACGTGGAAGCAGAAAAAGGCAATTAGGATACAGGGACATTTTTGATAGAAACGGGGCACGATGGACGCATATAGTAGCATGCTGATTTCTGCGTCTACAATATCTATCGATACCATTGAAATTTGAAAGAGAATCTTCTGATGCGGCGCAATAAAAAATTCTAACCACTGCTTGTCTATTCTGTCTGCCATATAATAATATCAAGTATTGGATGTGTTGAGGTACGGAGGGGTATTGCAAATTCAAAGACTTAAAAAGTGTTCTATATACACTCCTACGCAACATGGTCTTTCTAGTTCTTCGACTTGTGTAATAATGTGGAAGAGCTGCCCGTTATAGCTATCGGTCGAAATAAGCGTTGCTGTTCCTTAACAACATTTTTAGCGTCTCCTTCTAATGTTAGCCCTCCCTAGACTCTTTGCTGGTTCGTATAAGACAGAGGCAGAGGTTTTGGCTTAGATTTTTTTTTCGTTATTTGATTTTTGGGTTTGGCGTTAGCGGCTCTGTGCGACTCAAGGCAGCGGGAAAAACGCGATACCGACATCAGCGGGAAGGAGAGAAGTAACAACAGCAACAACAACAACAAGGCGAATGAAGATGGCGATGAGCGGCGGCAACTTTTGCTCCTGCTGCTGAAGAAAGAGAAGAAAGCGCGGTAACGCAAAAATCAGACAACAGCAGGAGCAGAAGTGCTCTCCGTCAGAGATCGAGGGGTTCAGCCCACTGGCCGGCTTCTTTTTCGCATTCGCCTGGTGGGGTACCGAAGGAAGATTCGTTCGAACGTTTGCTCTGTAAGAAAAATATCTCTTAAGCTATTTTCATCGCCAGTATCACCACTGTCGTAGTTGTCATTACCGTCAACAACGATAGCACCAACAGCAACATGTATATCACGTTCGTCATCAGGAAACCGTCGCGTTCACTTTCGTCCCCTCTTTTTTCTTCAAACCAACTACGTCAGACCATAGAACGTCACTATTCTATGAAGTATAGTTGAAGTTGCCCCATACAGAAGAATACTTACCTGTACAAGCTATTGCACTAGCCACGATGGCCAATATTGTGGTTCCACAGTCTGTAAAGACGACGTATCGCTAGAATTCAAAATTAGTGACTTTACTAGCAATACTTGTTTTTTCCACGCATGTGTATTTCGAAGTGTTGCTAATCAATTTCAAGAAGATTTAAAGATCTGAAATTGAAAATATTTTCGACAAAGATGTTGCTTGTCTCGTAGCGAGCGAAAAGAAACGGCCGAGAAAAGTCCGATTGAAGGCCATTAGCGTTTTGTTGCTGCTGCTATTGGTAGACGTAAGGTAATAATATCGTGAAGTATGTAATCGTCTGCTGTCGTCTTATCGACCAATTGGGGACCGTTTTTTAACTCAATGACTTAGAACAAGAAAACACCGTTGGTATCGTAGTAGAACATTTGTTCAAGGAATATAGAAGACGCTTGATGAATCCTGCGGTTTTAACTCTGCTGCATAATTATTATTGAGACAAGAAGCTCGTTCGTACTTTTAGATACATGTTTCATGTATACATATTATACATACATTTTGGATGGGTGAATCATTTGCGGAGTTTACTAGTAATAAATACTTGTTTATTTAAATAACACGAAGAGATAATAATTTGGTACCTTCACGATTTTCACGAAACCTTAGTAAAAAGCTTCCACTGTACCGAAACACTGTATGTTTTTTAGAAATAACAAAATCTAGGCCTTTTGAAGCAAACGAAATTTATAATTTAGAGTTTATGGACACAACTTCTCATTAACTCTTTATATTAGATTTCACGTCGTATTACAGGTCGTATTATCGAACTACAGTCGCAGCAGGCATCTTGCTTCGTATGTTTTTGTTCAAACTGAAATTTCCTTAAAACTAGTGAATGAATTTGTAAAAACAGTCACTCCTAGCAGATATCTAAAGCAGGACAAAGGCTTTACTGAGCTTCCTACCTTACCGTGTCCCCAAGTTTGAGCTGTGAACTTACTTAAAGTGTCGGAGAAGCACGACCGTGCCCTTGAATTCAATAGCGCCCAATTAAATTGTGTCACACATGCATTTAGTGAGACACCAATTAAATACTTGTGCTGTGAGAATGATTTTTAGAACATAGTCCATTAGTTCGCATCTTGGCCGTCTCCTGAACGACACCGTCCTGGGATCCTGTGCTTCATGTAACTTTACGTGACTGAGTTCTCTAAGAGCGGCAAGTGGTCGTTCCTTTTACGACGAGCGCTGGCAGATGAAGTACTCAACGGTAGCATGAAGAAAGACAAAAAAACACACAAAATGAATGGTTAGTTAGTTAATCGATGTTCATTATCATTAGATTAATGTCATACAGCCGCTGGTGCATTGTCATGTGAAATAGTACGGTGAAACTATGTGTGTTTACGTCGCAATGAGTCATAGGAACGATTCCGTAAAGCATTTTGGTGCACAGGCACACAGATACCCACACCGTTTATATTTGCAGGTAGATTTACAAAGGTTCATCATCAGACCAGTCAGACATTCAAACACACATAGGGGGAGAGAGAGTACTCGCTCTGGAACGAAGGTGTGCGATTAATACTCACTAGATAGAATCTGTGTGACACGTGTCGCTTGTTCCTTCCCTCAACGTGTCTCTACCGTGATCAACCTTAGTATCCGCTCCGGCTGCTGTCCCTACTGCTAACAGCCGTTTCTAGCGCTAGTAAAAGCGCCGAATGGCATACATCGATGATGATCGCGATGATGACGCTACGGCATGCCCCGACGCGGACGTATCAGAAAGGCCACACGCTACTTACATCCATCACATACACGGAAATATAGTTTACGTTCGTATATATCATTATTCCACCTTATACGATCTTTGCTTAGTGACATTAACTGTTTGAAGTTATCACCGCGACCGTAAGTGTGAAAAATTCAGCTAGCGATCGTAGGTCACTCAACTAGTTGTGTGGGGCGATTTTCACTGAAGCCTTTAACTAGTGACTGATCATAATGAATACAATAAATACAATCAGAATCACAATTGAAGGCTGTATGAGCTGCATCAAAATACAATCGAAATTAGCGTGCGGGGATGTTTTTTCGTTTTTATTGAATTAAGATCTTCCCATACAGCAGTTGCTCTCAACAGGCTCCCGTCCAAATAGCGCGCTACAAAAACTAACTAAGTTCCTGTTGTAGTCAAACGTATTCTTTTCTTCTTATTTGGAATAATCAGCTGACGGAATGAAACGAGCGACTTACTTCAGAGTTTGCCGAATTCAAACAACACTGAACGAACGACCGGTTACATGACCAAGTCTTAAATCCGGAGAAGTCGTGTAATTTTCTTGTCTCTATAGATCGCACAAACTCCCTCTTATTGAATATCGCTAAGACATTGAACGCGTGAAAAATTCAAAAACAAACAGTTTAAAAAGCAGCTGTCTTAACTCTAGGTTGGTTGTTATGAGATTCGCGAATACAAATCCTCTCGTATGATAATAATAATAATCTACTGTGGCCATCTATCGCATCGATTAAACTTGATATACGCAAAGATAAAATTGTACGGTAAAAATACGGCGTTTTGTAAAATGGCACCGATGACCAAATTGATGAAACCATCCGACGATGGCTGAACAGGTCTGATATACGTTAACGTGTCGTGTTGACTATTTGAATCAGTTCGATGTTCTTCCATTGGAAAATGTAATTATAATGGTAAGGATAGAATTAAAATGTTATATTTAATATCAAAGTACATTTCATTATGATATTATATTATTAAAATAAGCGACCGTTTTAACACTTTACTTAAGAAGTAAATTAAAAGGTCCGCTAAAGAGTTAGACACGTAAAGTAACCAAACTGATAATAATAAAATAATAATTAAATTATGTGGGAATACTTACTTTATGATAAATAGTACAGATTGATGATGTTAAAGGACGCATATCCTAAACTGAAATGACATCAGTTGCGAGTCAACGAGATTCAAAGTTTCTCACTAACATTACCATTTATCGCTAACATCTCATACCACTATGTATAAACTATTTCGAAGACTTAAAATCTCTTGATTTCAGTAAGCACTTACTTTTTTAGCATTTGAAATTTTGAGGACCAATTTCTTTTATAACGTTATCTATTAACTGCCCAAAGCTATTTAGTGGGTCGAACATTTCATATAACTTTTAATTTAGTAAACGTTTACATCTCGTCTCTAGCTATCTACGACTCTGGGCTGATTAAGTGTTATTAGAGAATAATGAGTTTAGAAGCGAAGACATTCTTTAGTGGTCAAAACCAGTGTTCAGTAATTAGGTTTGTTTCGTGAAGGTGAAAACGTTTGTGGAAGTAATTGAAAACTAGTGAAAACATTGGGCAAAGACGCTTTCAATAAAAACAACTTGTTACTGTCGCAACTATTTTTGAGTGGAAAATCGGAGATTGAAGACCATATAGATCACTACACCTTACGAAGAAAAACAAATAATTGCGGAAGTTTTTGAGAAAATATAGCCTAGACAGTGCTCTCCGTTCCGTCTTGATATGAGATTTCCCTAAGCATATGTTATGAAAATGTAACGAGAACACTGAAGATGATCAAGAAAAGCAAAAGAGCAGCTCAAGTTATAGAGCTGGATCGACTTGATCACAGGCTCATACTCGCAAGTGATATTAAAGGCATTCTTTACCACGAAATATTGCCCAAGAAGAAAACAATGAACGCTGTTGCCAGGTAATTAGAATTTCTGCAGGGCCTCATCTTCGATATTCGTCACAACAATCAACAGCACCCAGTGTGGCTCCTCCGATGATGACAACAACTTCATTAAAACGCTACAATTATAGCCTGGACCGAACAAAGCTGGAAACAAGCAACGGCTTTGGCCCTTATAACCAAATCCATGTAGTTCGATTGCTTTAATGCTTTAAAGTAATAGATAGATGACGTGACGTATCTTTAACACCCTCAATCAAGCCACCGACAACGATATTATAAATGCAGAGCACCAGGGCACACAGCTGTTGAAAAGCTCCCAGAAGACTCGTTTTAACGTACAAAAAATATGGGAGATCATATGCAACGTTTACCGAACAATCGTTGTCAGTCTGTCTTGTACGGTCCAAAAGTTATTAAGGCTTTTTGGCCCGCCAAACAGCTCTGGACAGCTTAATAAATTACTAATAAAGGCAAATTGTCTGGTAAAGTTATGGTTGAGTCCCGCAGTGCATCATGACCACAAGAGCGAATACGTCATAACTCAAACAAATACTAAACTACGACTCGTACTGCCATCTTAACAAAGATTTTATTCACATCTTCCGAAACTTGGAAATTTGCTGCTGCTGCTTCTAACGACATAAATATTTTCTTCACTTAAACAGTCCAACAATGAATTTATCAAAGCATTTTCACTAGGGCTCAGTGAAATGCCGCCATCAACGAGGTAACACCATGAAGAATAACAAGAACTACAACAGCATGAACAGTATAGTGTCTCTTGTCCATCGACCATTGCTATCATTATTTTTGTGTACCAAATCCCTAAATCCGCGTATCACATTTTATATGCCTACCCTACCAACATTACATCTGCAGTATGTGTGATACATAGGTAGGTAAACATAATTTTCCCAGTATCATCGTCAATCTTAGTTCAGAATACGATACGCAAATCACCACAATCTTTTTCCATTTTTTTTCCTCTTCTTTTCATCTTGTCTACTACTGAAGCTGCAGCTTCTGTTGCAAACGACGCTTTCGTCTTCAGGACGTGCCCCTGTCCCTGATCACCTACCGTTCCTTTCCGCAACCAACCAACATGGCGTCAAGTCAGCTAGTCGCGACATCCAGTCAGCCAACCAGCTAGCTACTAAGCAAACAACCCCGCCTTCTACCGGCATTCAAGTCGAAAAAGAATGACTAAGCATGCGTAGGCACAGAATATGGAATACAGACATGGACACCAGCACAGTCACCCGCCACACATTGATATTGGGTGGGTAGCCATTTTGGCTACAGGATGTTCAAATCTTCGCACGACGGCAACGTTTTTCAATGTTGTTCGCCTTCGAAGTCCTCTTTTTTCCACCTCTTCCACCTCTCGCCCTCTCCGGATGTACCGCCCTTAAATATTTTGTAACGCCACCTTGGTGTTATGCTGTTCTGGCGAAAAAATACTAAAATGTTCATTGGGTAACATATAAGTCAGCCATATTTCTGTCAGTTTCAGCCGAAAACAAACACAGACGCGATCGATGTATTACGGATTGATGTAAAGAATGTTTATATATGCCTAGAATAGTGCAGTTGATCATCTACAGAGGAAAGCATCATTGATTAAGCCAGTTATTTGCCTCCGTATCATTGAAACGGATATAAATGCGCGCATTGCACAACGTTTTCTGTCGCCCGCGTTGTTACCTTACATACTATCAAATTTTAGTCTAACTTATAAAATCATTACTAGTGCAGTCACAAGCGGTGACAGGTGTCAAAAATTTCTTATCGCTGGACAAAGTCCAAAAAGTGTGCCTACACAGCATGCAATAATTTTCAGTTTGCCACTACCTACAACCCATGTTACAACAACAGTCAGCAAGACATTCAAAGCTTCGTCATATAACGGCGCATAACGAGCTACGCAAGTATTCGAAACTATCTGATTCTTGGTCGATGATTAAACCATTGAATACATGATTTAGCAGTTTTCGGCTTGAAACTTCACTAAACCGTATCGAAAAAGCGATGACATCGTGAGGCGTTTTTCACATGAAGGCTAACACCTTTATAATCAAGTGATCTATATATTGAGCAGTACGCATTTATCAAAAAAAAAAGAAGAAAAAAAAAATTTGCGCCGTCTTGATGATAGCATCGAATCCTTGAGTATAGTTCGTTCAATCCTGTCCCATATATAAACTTAACCTGTGGCGTATGTTCAATAAAGAAGTACAACTTCATCCATTTAGCCAACAGCTACAAGTAGCGCCTAGCGGGGCGCGGAAGTCAACAGCGATGACCTCAACCAGCTGATTCGGTGAAATCTGCCATTTCTTCTTACCAGCTCGTCGTACTATTAAGGACGGATTCGGGCTAGCACGGAGTGATGTCTAAAAGGGATAATTGAGAATAAGTGGATAATGGTCTTGAAGAAACCAAGTTGCACCGTCGGTCGAGTTTCACACTCGACCCACATGACAGTGTCTTAACCCTGGTAGTGTCCGGTCGCACGTAAATTACATTACTCAAACTCTTCTAAAGAACCCACAAATATTTGTGCCCTGAAAACGTTTACATGGTAATTACTTTTGGGTTTAACAAGAAGCAGGCCCCATGAAGTATAAGATGTACCTACCTGATCAGGTCGACGCTCTTTATGACTCGAAAGAAATTATTTACGCAACACATATTAGTAAAGAAAATGGGAAGTATTGTAAAAATATGTTTACTACTTTTGAAAGACTGGTATACTCGTTTGAGGCTAACAATAATCACCTATAAGTTTTCCTGCATTGTTCAGAAAATCGTAATAATCTGCTTATCTACCTTTAGACTTACGAATAAGTTAAAAAAAAAACGTTTAACACTAAATTGCACTAATTTTTCTTTAGTTTAGAGGAACCTTAATTTAAACGAGAAAACTCATCGTACAGCTTATATACATCGTATAGCGTTGACTCGATTTATTCGGGTTATTAACATCGCCTATTGGAAATAATAAATTCGAACCAAATCATCTAAGACCAAACTATAATACATAATCAAAACTTAAAGTTGATGATCCTTGCCATCATCA